CACGTGATGTTGATTTGTTGGACTTTAGCTATTGTTCTCACGCATGAAAATCTGCAACTCTGTCAGACTGCCGTGTTTGTAGATCTCAATAATTGTCAACTATGGGCTGTAAGTCTATGCTGCCTCAAGCAAACAGCTATAAAAGGTACGGGTGAGTTCACAATTATCATCCAGACATACTTACCTCCTCCTTCCAAATTGCAATGACTCAATCTCCTCCCCCTGGTCGTTCAAACTCTTCCAAGCAGCCTGAACGCTCCGTGAGTGAAGATTGCCTCAGCGACGAGGAAGAAACTATGAGTAAGGCCTTCTCATGTTTCTGATTATTGCACTAACTTACGTGTACCTCCAGACATCCTCCTTTCTCTCCTCTCATCCGTAACCTTGAGTAGGAGCAACGCTATGCTCATGATGTCCGCTGTTCTTGGCAGTGCCCGCCCTTCAACTCCATCAAGTCCCATATACACCAGCTCTTCCCCATCTTCCTCAATAGTTCAAGGGTCGCTTGCCGCCAGCTCTACTGTGGTATCTGGTCCTTCAGCTGCTGCTTCTTCACGCACTCCTGCTTTGGGTGCCGCCTCTTCTCCGCTTACTCCTGCTTTGGGTGCCAGTGCTTATGCGACAGTTTCTCCGATCACCACCAGCTCTCCTCTTTTCACCACAGCACTTGGCTCGCTCGCTACCCCTGCCGCTCCACCTGGAGGTAATGTGCCAAATGCCTCACAGGCTATCACTCGCACATACCTCGGCCAGGTTTATGAGGTTCCTGATGCTGGGACAGCTGGTCCCTTCTATTTGGTCACCAGAGGACGTAGAATTGGTATCTTTGCTGCGTGGTAAGTGACCTTTGACTCGTCGACTTCGAAACTGTCTCATCTCTATTTTCTCAGGCAGTCTACCTCTCCTCTCGTTATCGCTGTCAGCCGCGCCGTTTTTACTCGCTGTCCTTCTATTTCCGCCGGTATCACAGCCATGCAGAACACAATCGAAGCGGGTGAGGTGGAGATCTTACCTTGAGGAGAGGGGTTGTCAGTATATGTGTAATACTTGTAATTTCTTGATGTATTTGGACGCTTGAAATCCTATGTTGACATATTGAATTGCACGCTCGCTCGATCTCTCATCACACTGGCTTTTGCCCAAATCACACTCGCTGGATCAAAGAAATTAATTAAAATGTATCTTCGTTGATCGCCCATCAAAGGCCTTGCTCGAATTTTGCTAAATACAAATATAATAGCTGAAGGTACATCGGATTTTGAAAAATATTATGCCGGACATTGGCCGGGCTCGAAAGTTGAACCGTAACCAATCATCCACCGTACGCTCAAACCGAATATGGTCAATCTTCCTTACATGGAGCTTTCTTATGGCGTCAAATCAACAAAGTCGTTGAGCTCAAGAAAAATTGGTGTGCTCTTGGCGATCTGTCATTCATCAACCTTCTGCAGTGTATTCGACTCAGCTGCGCATGGAACGATACAACAATCATGACAGATTCCCAATCAGGTGTTGGTACAAATTACAGTGAGTCAGACTTTGACGTGTTCAATAAACAATGCTTGCAATATTTGAGTGTTCACCATCCTCAAGATCTCGGGAACTTCAAAGATGCTCCCATAATTGTTTGCAAAAAAGTGCTCTGTGATGCCATTAACTACAAAAAGGTACAGTCTTTTGCTCGTAGCACCAATCAGGACTTCCTTGTATACCACTCAAAAGATGTCATGAAGAAAAAACCCCTCAGCGAAGATGTACAACAATTTATATGGGATCATATCGGAGCAAGCATCACTCATGACAGCTTGGGAAAGATTCCCCTTATCCTAGGCATGCGTGTCATGGTCACTGAAAATGTGGCCACTTTTTGCAACGTTGTAAATGGCGCTGAAGGAATTCTTCAAGACATCAAATTCTCAGTAGACGAGCAAAATTGTCGCTACACTGAGTGTGCTTATGTCAAAATTGAAGGTGCTAACCTCCAATCCCCTTCACTTCCTATAGACGTCGTTCCCATTCTGCCTTCTCCAACGCGTTTCACTTATAGTCCCAAAATCACAGCAGAAGAGCACGCTTCCCACACATCAGCAAAATCCTGCAATATTGTGCGAACTCAACTGCCTTTGTTACCAGCTTACGCTTACACCAACTACAAGGTACAAGGGCGTTCATTGAAGAAGGTTATATTGGATCTGGCAGGCTGCAGGTTTCTACAGAATGTCTATGTTATGCTATCTCATGCAACCTCTTTAGCTGGTGTTGCCATCTTGAGGACTTTCAAAAGTGTACGCACCAACCAACATATTGGACAAGAGTTTAGAGAAGAGTTCAATTGTCTGCAGGTGTTGGATGAGGAAACTAAGACTCTTTATTTAGCGCAATATGCATCATTGTGAAAGCTACTAAGCTTTTATGGATAAGGTGTGCCTCTTCCCACTTTCATTGCAAAAGGCTGTAAGGTCTGATATTCACCTGTGCAGCTGTAGCCCCCCAAGTACCACACCATCCCCTCGCCATAGCAGTGTGGCTCGTCTTTTCCTTCCCTAACCTCCACTGCAACCTCTCCTTCTTCACAAATTTTCCAGAACAAGCAGCTACGGTCGTTAATGGTATGAATCGTATGAGGACATATGGTGTCCTTCCAACACAGGTGTGCTTCTTCTGTCCCCTCGTTCTCCCATGCTTGTGGATTCATTCGAACATCATAGCCTCACTCCATGTATTTCAGGTATCCCCGAACAGATGTAGAATGCGGAGTAGTATATTAAAAGAGGGTGTAATGGTTGGCATTAATCAGTGAGCGCCTCTCTCCTGTCAAGATGGGGTATGTGCTGAAGAATCCGTCCCCAGAGATGAAGTTCATCACAGCGGTGGAGTGGAAGCAAAAAACAGGCGAGAGGCTCACGAACATCAAAGATACCACAAGATCAATCTTCATCTCACCACGTGCGAGACTGATGACCTCTTCAATGTCAACGTGGGCAACATAATCATCCTTGTTCTTTGCCTCTTCCTGCACTACATCATATCCTTCACTATTCTTCAAATACCACAGTATCCTATCTTTAGAAAAACTTGGCACATACACATCCATGTCTCAGGGCTCCCATCCACTCCAACGCCCTCAGATGACTCTGGACAACAGCATATTTTGTACGGGATGTGCCTCCATACAGCATAGTGGTCCCAACATTGCAGTGTGAGAGAACTTGATCAACAAGCTTTGTGGCGCATTTCCGAACCAGAAAACCATTACAGTCGCCAAAGTACAATGGAGGGGGAGGATTCATGGCAATGAGTGATTGTAAGAGTGAAGGCATGTCCTATTTTCAAACCGTTCTCTTTCGCTTCTCATATCAATTCCTTTTGCGTTCTTAACAACAGCTCCACCACCTTTTGATATTCAAGGGCTCTCCGACGCTCCCCGATTCACCACATATATTTGAAATTGGCTCTCCCTCCATTTTTTGCCACAGTCAATGTTTGTCGCCACACTCAACATTTTCCGCCGTTTTTCCACACCATGTCTTTCATCCAAGGTTAGTGCATATCATTACTCTTAAAGGTGGATGACTTGACAATGGAACTTTTCAGACGGCGGTAACAATGTACTTGTTTTACATTGGCCTCACCGACTGACCACCGGCCTCCTCAAATCACTCTAAATTGATTTCACAGACAACAATGTGGTACCAACAACCTACCACAAACTCTGTGAATGGGCTTATGTTGCCGATGACCCCACATCAACTGACTATACTCACCATCACCTTCTCTTATACAAAGAGCCGCCGGTTCCTGTGGTTGACAATACCTTGTACCCTGTCACAATCCGTGTTCAAGGGATTATCAAAAAATGCCAGCTCGGACCACTTGCCACGTGGAACGGGTATGTGTGCGTGTTTGGTTGTGTTCATGCTCACACTTATTGATGTGCTACAGGAGTCTTCAGTCTGCACCGTCAGCTGCACAAACTCTCACTCTGTCGCCTGGGCTATTCAAAAAACAGTGGCGATCAACATTGAATACCATACGCAATGTTTGTCAACTGGTACATATCAGCCTTGGTGAACATAACTACAAAGAACCGTCCACTGCTGGTATACGATCCTTGTACATGCAAAGGCGGATCTTCTCAAAGGTATCTCTCACACCTTTCCGTTCACCCATCTTTTGCTTAATGCTATTCCAGGTGACCTCTGCAAACAAAGAAAAATCCTCCATTTTACGGAAATGTGACGACCCAATGGAGAGAGCTAAGTCTGTTTTTGACAAGTGGCAAATTTTGGAAAAATTGCCCCTCGGCCGCGTAGACGCGTTGCACACTCAATTCCGCAAGGGAGACTTCGTTGACGTTGGAGTCTCCATTGACATTAGCATCTTTTGTGGCAACTGCACCAAACAGTTAGTTCAAGCTCATCCCAAACTAGAACATATCCTTCAAGTGACACTAATCTCTCAACTGCAATCTGTACGTCTTCTCTATCCACCTCCACCTGTGTCCTAATCCTCACCACTTGAACTACAGCTTGGAGTTGTCAGTGAAAAAAATCAATCAAGAGTTCTGATTCTTCCAAGGACTCTGCCAGGTCATCAGTAGTCAAGGCTCATTTGACATTTGATATGCTTGAGGAATAGATAGCTGCCATCTTTTTGGCTCATTATTGTTACTTAGGTCACTCTTGTTCAAACATAACCCTCAATAAAACCTTTTCATTTTTAACAGACACATCATGCCGCAATGTCTGATTTCCCTTTTCTTCAGTGGCAATAATGCCCTCACTTCAATAATGCTCCACCCGCAGTTTAATCACCAAAACAATATGATAGTTACATGACAAATGGTGAAATTTTGTAGCTGTTCTTTTCCGGTGACCTTTACATCCTAACAAACACATGATTTTACAATGACAAATAGTCAATTTCTTCTGGGGTGCCTGCCCGTTGACCATAGTGACTGGCCTCTGTTACTACAAGAATTGCAACTTGCAACCCTTCCTGCCTGATTCTGATCCAACAGCAAATTGAAAAATCTTCGAACACGGTACCTCTACAAGAAAGTTTGCTCTGAAGTACTCCCCTTAACACTGGGGGCCGTGTATCAATAATTGTCTCTTCTCCCAGAGCACTACAAGGCCGTTGCTAGGAGTGCACCCTTCTGCTATACGGGATATTCCCAAACAATAACCCCTTAACCCTGGGGACCGGGTTTGCACAAAGTGCGAGAGAGTAGTAGAGTGAGTCCTAATGTAACAACCAGGAGTTAGTTACTCTGGCGCACAACTCAGACAAACTATAAAGGTAGTGGAGGGAGTGGTTACCTTTTAGATAGGACCAAGTTAGTTGTGGGTAAACAGCAGGAGGACTCGCTGAGGAGTCTCCTGTATCTATTGGGTATTTATACTACTACAGGTTTGTTTGTACATGTGTACTATACAGTTGATGGAGGCAGTGGCTGATGATGTCAGAGGGTGCAGCCCATGTGACCAGCTCCACTGCGTGAGATACTTGTATCTAAAAATAAAAGAAACGCAGCGCAGCGCAAGAAGGTGGAGTTTGAACAAAAGGAAAGTGCCGCCTGGCACAGTGTGTGAAAACTATAGAAGAAAGTTAGATAGGAGAATGAAAATTAAAGGTCCAAAAATGTGTTATTGTAACATCTTCTGCTCCTTCTTCTCCTTTTCAAGCATTTTCTTTAGATCAGATTTCATATCTACAGGCAAATTAATTACTTTTCTGGTGGTTTTGCTGATTCTTGCTTATGCAAAACTTCCCTCCAGATCTCTCAAGCTACACAAAATGTGTTTCACAGTAGGTACTCTTACACTAAACATAAAATACAACAAAATAATGACTAAACAGACATTTGTACTCAAGAAGTGATGTATTGTACAAATGGAATCAGATCTATCTGGGATACAAGTTAACTAATCAATGCAATGAATAACCCCCATGAGGAAAGTATGAATAGTCTTACCTTGGTTTATAGTATTTGAATTTGTATATAAAGGATATTTGTACGAAACCCTGGTCCAAACGGTTGTCAGGGGGTGGTCCGCTTGTTAAGCTGTCAACCCTTCTCCAGACTGGCGGAGGCAAGTGCCCGGCCTGGTCAGAGGTATTTAAAGAGGAAGGTTTTGTATTTCTAAATCTAATCAACAGTAGTTCCACACCAACTGCTGAGCTATAGTACTCCCCTTAACGCTGGGGGCCGCGTATCAAAGGTATCGGTTCTTCTCCCAAAGCACTACAAGGTTGTCGCGAAGAGCACACCTATCTGCTATGTGGGATATTCCCAACCAATGACCAAATCTCCTTCACCCTGGAGTCCGGGTGCCCAGTGGGACTTTTTGCACAAACGTGCGAGAGAGTAGAAGAGCGAGTCCTAATGTAACAACCAAGAGTGACTTACTCTGGCGCACACAGAAACACACTATAAAGAAGATGGATGGGGAGTGGTTACCCCTTAAGCTGCAGAGAGTTTGTTGGTATACAACAGGAGGACTTGCTGAGGAGTCTCCTGGATCTATTGGGGTATATATACTAATACAGAGTTGTTTGTACTTATGTACTATACAGTTGATAAAGATAGTGGCTGATGATGTCATGGGGCCTAGCCCGCATGACCAGCTCCACTGTGCGAGAGAGTTGTATCAAAAAATAAGAAGAAGACAATGTGGCGCGAGAAAGAGGAGTTTGAACAAAAGGGGAAGTGCCGCGTGGCACCATGTGTGAAAGCTAACGTACACAAGGTTAAACCGGAGAATGAAAATGAAGGAAAGGTCCAAAAATTGTGTTATCATAACAGGCGCGTCTGGCGCCCTTGATTATTTTTTTGTTGGGCGGCCTGTGCCCCATTTCTACAGTCTTGGGACATGTGTCCCTCTTGGCCACAATTGTAGCAGTTCCCTTTGAATCTGTGCATCTGTCCTCCTTGGACCACACCGATATCCATAGGGGCTCCCTGTCACAATTTGAACCCCCAGGAATCTTATCTAATCTCTAGTTCCAAATCTTATCTCATCACGTGACATTACAGTCACCTGACTAAGCCTAAACTATGATGTAGTACATCAGTCAGCGCCTCATGGCTGACCTACAGAAATGTATATATACAACCACCCATGTACATACATTCCCCAGTTGTTGATTACATCTTAATATTGATACCTTGACACTACTTGTTTGATTTATAAGCTTGCACCTCCATTAACTCGGTAAAGGGTGTAGGATTATTACACTCCCTGCCTTGGTTACAGCCGGAACAGCTTGAACCTGTGAGAGTGATTATGGTTTTGATTTGATGACACAGAGCACCTCTGGGAAGAGTTGTTTTTGGTGGTGGGCCTGCCACCTTGGTGCATAGCCTAGAGCTCCATGGCTCTACCTATTTGGCAAACTTCCTCAGCCACTAGGGCCAAGTTTTTGCTTCTCATATCCTGCAGATAGACCTGTTTGGTGATGTGGGGGTTCAAATTGCGCTCTAGCAGTTCCACTGTGTGTTCATTACCAAGCCCTCCTTGGATGAAGAGGGCGAGGAACCGGTGTCGATGATGAGAATTGTTGTTAGAAAACCACACACAAAACAAACTAACACACAATCCTCCCAGATTCCACAGAGCTTGTGTATGGGCTTTGCCTCCTAGAGCAGTGGAGTGGTCTGGTTGTTTGTGGGGTGGTACGTATGACGATCTTTCAAAGTAAAAAACACAGAGATATATGGGTGTGGGTTTTGAGGAGGAGGGATAGTTGGAAGATAAAGATAGGGGCTTAGTGACGAGTATGGACAAGCACTACCTTGCTAATTATAGCACAAGGTAGGTTTGAGAACAACGAGATGACGAGGTGATGAGGCTCCCAGTGATAGCAGGCTCCTGATGCACAAACTGTAGTGCTCAGAAGGACTCTAATTGAAAGGGATGACAATGGCTTTCAAAAGTGAAGAGTGATGATGACAGCAGATAACAGTAGCAGCAGTGGGAAGTGTTGTGACCACACTGAATCACAAGTAGCAGAGTAGTGAACTTGAGATTTAGAGAAGAAGTCTGGATTGGAGTTCTTGTTGTTTTTACAAGGTAGAATACAGGGGTTTATATAGTAAAAGAAAGGGAGGCTATGCACAGTATATCAATGAGAAAGAACATGAAGGAAGGAATGTATGCTGACGAATCCTGTGTAGGTAGTACAGGATAAGATTGTCAAAATAACAAAAAGAAAGGGATAGAACAATGAATGCTGTGTAAGTAATGTTACAGGTTTGTACAGCCATAAAGTAAAGTCCAATAGCAAAAAGAGAGCAAGAAAATCATGATGTCATGGGAAGATGCAGTCAAAAAGGGCAAGGCAAAAAATACGAGGTCCAGCCCGTGGCTCTGCCACTGGTGCAATATTTTTACTATACGATAAATAATAATAATAATACTATTAAGTGATCAAAATGTCAAGTCAGTGAACTTGTGCTGTCTGTAATGTATGTGAAGTCTTTGAATCCTATGGTGCAGGTTTAACTTGCTGTTTTGTTGGTGAATATTCTTATAAGCCTGCCCTAAACTTGTACACAGTATACTAAATTCAAGCAGATGATTTATTAAATCTTTACAAATATCAATGTATATTGTAATGTAAAAATTCTGTGGTATTACATTGATAAATTGATGAGAAATAAAATAAAATGACTCCAAAAATGATAAAGGATGATAATATGATCTAAGAACAAAACACTTTAGTAAAAAAGGTGAGAATTGGAGGAAAATCTACTTGCCAGTCACGGATAAAGCCAGTCAGAATTTTGGGATACACCACATTGACAGTACATCTATAATTTGAACCATGTGGAAATAGCACTTTTATTCTCTCTCTTAAAGTGCAGCAAGACAATGCAATATATAGTTGCCCATGTAAAAGCCCTGGAGCAGGTAAATTCAGCCCAACCTGTGTCACTGATTGCCCTTGAGACTTGTTGATGGTCATGGCAAAGGCAACACGGACAGGGAATTGATGATGTGATAGCTTGATGGGCAATTCTTCCAATGAAGGTTCTAATGTGAGGGGGGAAATAAAAGCTATCTTTCCTGCATGCTTTCCTCCCAAGACCTGTAACTGCACTTCAATGCTCTTCTCTTCATCTCTATCAACATTATGTATGTTCTAATACAGAGTCCATTTAGGGGATCAATATTGCGGAGGAGCATAAGTGGATATCCAGCTTTAAGTTTGAGGTGCGCTTCAGGAAGGCCAGATACTTGGGAGGAGTTCAAGAATTCCACAGGATAATGTTTATATCCCTCTCCAACCACTTTATCAATCGACAGAGCTACTATATCCAGGGAATTTTGTGAGGATTGCTGAATTAAGGCCGCTAAGAGCATCATTTTTTGTGGAGAGGATGGTGCAGTGGAAGAAATAATGGTCATCTTGGTCTCCATTTGCAATTCCAGGATAGGTAGTGTTGACTAATGGGTCTATGGTGTTTTCTGGTATAAGCATGTTGGTGGGGAGCTTAATAGTTCCATCTCCTGCAATTCCACAACCACCACCAACATCCAGAAGCCAGCTAGCAAATGTGAGGCAATATTAAACTATAACAAAAACAATACCCGTCTCCGACTGCACTTGCAGAGAGCGCAAATGTGAGGCAATGTTAAACTATAACAAAAACAATGCCCGTCTCCGACTGCACTTGCAGAGAGTAAGAGGTGCAATGAGCTTGAGGTCAACAGATGCTAGCAAATATAGCAAGTAGAGGACTTGGGAGTAAACTCAAGGGTTTCTGATGAAGAGTAAAGTGGGTAAAAGTAATAGAAAGCTAAAGAACAATACATGAGTATGTAGGGTTTTTATAGCTAATCGTCTATCTCTCAGACCAAAAGTAGAATAAAAAAAAGGTGGTTTGAGGATGAAACTATCCAATAAAAGAAAGAATAACTATCATACAACTTTAGGGATTAATCAGCAGGTGAGAGAATGTACTGATAATAAGTATTGTCACACATGTTCAGGAACCGTATGCTCATGATGAGGTACAATTCTGACTAAAGTGTCTATTAATATCTCCAGGCACTGATGGGGCTTGGAGCTGGTTGGCGAGATGTCTACCACCAGTCCTTACCCATTGTGCTGGCTAGCTGGGAGTACTACCCAGTCTCTGATCTGCAATATGAAGTGGTAATGATGGTTCAGAAAGCCTGTGAGGGCTATAAGAAGCAAGATAGCAAAGGATACCTCTAGCCCTAGAGCCAGAGGTGTGATGGGAAAAGCGTCTGAGAACCAAGAGGTGGAACAAAAAGATAAGAAAATAAGAAAATATAAATGGTCCTTACAGCAGAGACTTCACTTTCTGCAGTACGGTCCAGGTGCATGTCCCGTGTGAGATAGCAAACATGGATATTTTTCCACAGCTGTGACCTTCTAAGAGAGGCAGAAATAATATGCTGCCTTGACCCTCTTGGAACAACAGGTGTTGTTTAGCGGAAGTCCCCTCCAAAGACCATTGTAATGCCTCCAAATGGAAGCTGATTATCCAGGATGTCCCGCAATGTACAATCCAATGCTTCAATTCTATGACGGTGTTGCATTAGTGCTTCATCCCAGACAATAACTCTGGTATGTATCAAATACCTCATGGAGGCCGGAGTTTTATGGAATCCTGCATGTGAATGTTTCATGTACAGGAATAGGGATTCCAAGGTGTGAATGAGCTGTGCAGCCACCCTCCAAGAGCAGGGATTAAATCTCAGAGGATGCTACACATAGAGCAACATTATGATTATCTCTTGCTCAAGCAGCAGCGGCAATTGTATTACAGAGATATATTTTTCCCTTACCTTTAGCACTGTGAATAAAGCAAGTTATTCCCCAATTATGATTGATTGATTGTATGATGGTATCAAAAGCATTTTGTTGCTCTTGACTGAGCTACTCCATACTTTCTTTTGAGTAATAATAATACAGTAAAGTGATCAAATTTTATTTAGTCAGAAGTCAGTGAACTTGTGCTGTCTGTCCTTATAAACGTGAGAATTTTCAATGTGGCTACAATTTTCACTGCACTCGTTACTACTGCACTACCTACCCTCTACTGCTAACCAAAAACCACGCAAGCAAAACTAAGCAAAAAAATGTGCTCCCACATGTGCTGCACGCGACTTTTGGGACCACTGTCCCCTTTGTTATAGATCAGTATCAACACAGTTTCTTTATTGTCAGTCAGGCATTCTAGAAAATTATGTGTCCATAAAAATGATTCAAAATTCAAAAATAATTGCACTGTAAATGAATATTCTGCTGAAAAAAAAGAAACTGGAGCCACCGGTCCACCACCTAGTCCAAATCCAACGGTTCCATGGCCTTACCAATGGACTGGTTGTACTGGACCACCTGGTCAAACGAGGGAGGGAGGGGAGTAGTTCCAATTTGGAACAAGTGAGTCTCAGGCAGCGTGTGGTAGCTGTAGCTGTAGCGAAGACAATGGACAAAAGATAAGTGTACCCAAGTGAATGGGATGGCGATGTACAAGGGCAACACAGGTGGATGAACCTTCTCCAGCTCAAAAACTACCCACCCACACTCCAACCAGGCAAGACGAGTGACCAGTTTTGATAGTATATGATGGAAGATTGACATCATGAAGATGGGCAAAAGGTCCCAACTTGGACCGGCCGCTGGGGCTTTGCTGATATCAGCAGCGGCACGTGGTGATCAATGGATTGGCAACGGAAATGGATAGAAAGTGGTAACATCAGATATGGTGGGGGAGCAGAAAATATGAGGAGTAGGAGGGTGAAGGTGACAAGGAGGTGAACCAGAATAGGGATCCAGAAGCGACTGTTGGGTGAGAATAAAAAAGAGAGTAAGGGTCCTATGGTGGGACTGAGTAAAGAAAAAAAAGGTAAGGGAGGGCGACGAAAGCAAGAGCGCAATGTGTAGCCAGTGGTGACACAAAAATTTGCCAAAATGCCAAAATGCTGAAAGTACCGAATGGAAAAGCAAAGGTGAACGCGACTGGATTGCCTAATAGAGGTGGTGCTGATCAGCCACAAGTTCAAAAAAGGCAATATTAATTACTATTCCACGTGGCACTGTGCCTGTGTGGCGCAAAGACGAGTCTTTTTGAATATTTGCTTCATTCTTGACACCTGTCCATGCTACCAATCAACTTTGGTGCATGACACCGGGTTACAAAATCATCTGTCTTCATATTTCCCTGTTTGAAGGAACAGTTCTGTTGACTCACCCAGTCACGCTCAGCCTGTGGTTTGAAATATTTTTTGATCTCTACTTTGAGATTATCCCAGGTAGGCCATGCACCAGCAGTGTAGCACTCCTGGTGTCTTACTTGAGCGTATTGACCTGCCACAGTTCCTTTTAGTTGTAATAGCACTGCCATTGCTATCCCAAAATCATCGGCAAATGTGTCCCAATTTGCCTTGATCCAAATTTGGAGCTTGATCCACCATTCAGCAAATCAAGCCTGGTCTCCCTCAAAAGTGCTAGGGTCAGCAACAATTTTGACTTTCTTGTTAAATTTTTGCTCAACTGTAGGTTCAGTGGCAGGTGCAGCCTGAATCTCGACAAGCTGGGTTATCAGCGACAGAATCTGTGCACGCACGTTGTGCAATAGAGTGTTCATGTTACTTTGTTGGGGTTGTTACAACGACATGTTGACTTGTTCTCTTTGTAATGTAAGAAAAAGGTAACTGGGGGTCCCCGCTTGCTATCTGTGGATCTACCTATTCCCAGCTGAGTATCAGATCTCAATCTCCAACTACCCACACTATAATATTTGAAATTGTATTTAAAAGGTATTCGTAGTAAACCCTGGTCCAAACAGTTGTCAAGGGGTGGTCCACTTGCTAAGTTGTCAACCCTTCTCCAACTGGCAGAGGCAAGTGCCCAGCCTGGTCAGAGGTATCCAAAAAAGAAGTTTTGTATCTAAATCTAATCAACAATGGTTCTACACCACTGTTGAGCTATAGCACTCCCCTTAACACTGGGGGCCGTGTATAGATTCTTTCTAGTACCTTGTTCTGAGGAGCTTGCCTGCAGGATTGGGGCACACACTCAAGTTTCCGCCGGTTAGCAAATGCTCAACACCAATCTGGCTCCCAAATCTTACTGTTTGAAAGATGTCCACTTAACCCTGTGGTCCAGGTTTGCATAAAGTGCAAGAGAGTAGAAAGAGCAAGTCCTAATGTTACAACCAAAGTTTTTATACTCTAGCGCACACAACAACAAGCTATAGAGGATATAGTGAGGGATGGGTAAACCCCTTAGAGTAGGACCGAGTTTGTTGTGGGTAAACAACAGGAGGACTTGCTGAGGGGTCTCCTTGATCTTTTGGGGTATATATACTACTACAGTTTGTTTGTACATATGTACTATACAGTTGATGAAGGCAGTGGCTGATGATGTCATAGGGCCCAGCCCGTGTGCCCGTGTGACCAGCTCCACTGTGTGAGATACTTGCATCTAAAAATAAGGAAACACAGTGCAGCACAAGAAGGTGGAGCCAGAACAAAGTGGAAAGTGCTGCATGGCGCAGTGTGTGAAAACTACAGAAGAAAGTTAAAGAGGAGAATGAAATTTAAAGGTCCAAAAATTGTGTATCGTAACATGCAAAGGATTGGAAGGTGGTCAACCCTCTTGGACTCAAAGTAGATTTTGATGCATACTATGAAGCTCTCAGTCTCGAGGATGTACGCCTTAACAAGAATTTCTCGATATAGGTTGTTAACTGCTCTAATGCTGATCAATCCTTGACAGGTTTTGAAGAAAGTTGATCTGAGCATTTATATTTGCTTCGTACCCCTAAGAAGTATTTATCGCAGATTAGTCATCGGGAATTTACGGGACATACCTTCCCGCCTGCCATAATTTCGTAATGACCACAACGAATATTTACTAACTTCACTCCTGCAAGATGCCAGGTAGGTCACCATCGAGTTACAATAAACGATTACAAAAACTTACTTTTGTCGGCATTTGCGACGATATCACGAGTGATTCCTATGGGAACTATATCATCCTCTTCTGCCGAGACAACGAGCATGGGACAAAGAGCTTTTTTGAGAGCTAAACCAGGACGACACGATAGCGCTTCAGTAATGAATCGCGGAGATATAAGGTTGGGTGCTCGGTCGAAAGGTGTACGACCCTGCGCAAACATAGACGTGAACCCTACACCAAAATTGGCATTAAAACAATACGACTACCAAAAGATGTTGACTTACCTGCATAAGAAGAAGGTGAATTGAGGACAGCGAATTCGCCAGGCTTACCAACGGCACGCAGGAATATAGGACGAAAACCTAGTTTGCCTCTCAAATAGTCGATGCATGCCCAAAATAAAAGTTTGGGGCGGGGCAGGACACTCGTGACAGTGGCGCGTGCTGCAAAAAATCACTGTGAAAGAACTACTGTATGACTGATTGTAATGACTTTTTACCATCTAACACTGGGCAATGTGCCATGCCTCCTGCTAAGCGACCATCGTTTACCACAAGGTCGGCGACTTGAAGTCCACTCCAAGCCGAGCCCATTACAACAATTTTCTCGGCTATGAAATCGGCTTGGGAACTCGCCCACTCAATAACACTACGATAGTCTTGCAACTGTGACTCGAACCCCACCACATTACGTGGTTCACCATCGGAATCACCGAAGCCTCGATAGTCGAAGATAAGAGAAGCCCATCCAGCCCCCTCGGCCCATTGCTGAGCAAAAGCTGCATAACCAGCATCCTTGATGACTGTTAAACTATGAATCAATTCAATGGATTGAGCCAAAAGCCAAAGGCCCAGATCTTACCCATGCCCTGCAACGACCACTGGATAGGGACCAGGCTTATCAGGCCTATAAAACCAGACATCTAATTTGACATTTTCCTGTATACTGGTTATTTTAAGGGGTTCGCACGACATAGCGGCAGGAAGACAAGGATGACATGCTTGTGATAGGAAAACAATGGGAATTAGAAGATTGAAGCTTGAAGCTTGAACTTCGAGTTCAAGTGTGCGAATGGTTGGAAGTCCATGGTTCGACTTTCTTCACTCACTGAAACGGGGATGTTTCCGTAACAGCTTTATATCTGGCTTGTAACCTAGGCATTGACTAAAATAGACCTAATACTTACGGTGGAAATGACAACGTCTTATAATCCCTTAGCATGGAAATAGACTTTGTCGCTACATGCAATGTATGTGATTGCTTACGAACAGTTACACTTCTTAGGATAATTTATATCTTTTCCAAATCTACGAGCGGATAGCTATAGGCTGCTTTTGCCGACTTGTTTTGCCTCTATAAGACGTTTTCGAATGGTTACAGAGTGACGGATGATGGAAAACGATAACAAGGCTAACTTGATACTTCCATACCATGGGGAGCACAACCAATGTGCCTTTGACTTTGCGTGATTATGACTATCTGTGACTACACATGATTGAGCGTTTTTACTGAGGGGTACTTCTCTGACCTACACCTTCCCTGAAACAGTCTGTCCAAGAGATGACGCCTAAATTTCGTATCAGCGTCGCGCGTTTCAATTCAGGAGTAATACAAACTTTGTCTGTACTTTGTTCGTGGCTAACATGGATATTCGCAAGAGGACCTTCAAACCAGTGAACGCCACCGTATTTCGGGAAGAAATAGTATATCGTTGCAAGCACCAGAGTGCCACCCATGACCGCTACTGCGTAATTCATCGTTGTCGTTGTCGGGGCCGGCGCGGTTGGAAACAAGAGGACGATCCACGCGAACGTCATCCAGACTACCGCGATAATAGCAACTGGACGGCTCTAGAGAGAAAGAAGGAACGCATTTGAATTAATTTCCAGGTCGGGTTGAACGTGTCATGGGGACAACGTTAGTGTAGCAGGAATAGGAATGAACATACATATGCGCCTAGATTAAACCTGCCTGGCTTAAACTGTTTTCCATATAGCACTCTGGCTGTGATGGGTATCGAGTATGCGATGTACTGACTCACCACTCCCAAGGTGAAAACAGCACCGATTGCCGCTGTGCCAGCAAAAGCTAGCAAGCAAAGCAGAAACGCGCAAAAGGCCGAAAACCATACACAGTGCACAGGTGTACCGGTATATGGGTTTATGCGATACAGATAGCTCGAGAAGGGGAGGGCGCCATCTCGAGCGAATGCCCATGTTTGTCGAGAAGAAGCGGTGAGCTGTATTTTAGTGAGAATTAAGACTTTGAGGTAACAAAAAAGTATGCTGTACCGAGCTGCTACCCATCATAAATCTAGAGAGTGAGTTCGAACTTCAGCCCACTTCCACGTATAAGATGACACAAAATCAACTGACTGAGCAATAATAATAAACGACCAGATTGCTATTGTTCCAGTCTTTCCAAAGCTATTGAGAAATATCTGAGCAAGAAGGGTAAACACAGTATGTAAGACAGAGGATAACGCATCACTAACGGTGACGAATGGTTGCCCCACAGGATTGTCGACTATGGAAGATAAATCTGAGCCCATGTTAAAAGCCAAGGCCACCACAATTCCTATATGAATCCCGAATGATTATTTGTTACTGATTGCGCATTACGAGCCCTACCCCATCCCAATAGACATCCAAGGGTAGTCGCAGACATCACAGCGAATGGGACGGCGAAGCTAGCATTGTTGGCTTCCTCACTGAGATGGAGACTGCTGTCAAACCCACCTGGAAATGATTCATCTAGGAATGCGAATGCAGATGACTTCAGGCTTACCGATCGTCCATAGCGGTGCCAAAAAACTTAGGATGAAAGCAAATCCATCAGGCCATCCCGACGCTTTGAGTTCATGTAATTAAGGATGGAGCAGGTACAAAATAAAACTCGTACTGTTTTGGAAATCACCGAATGCATATCCTGCAGAGTTCTTGAATTCTGTTGGCGTGGCTATCGGCAGAGCAACTATGACAGCCAAGGGTAACCTATCAGGCCAGGTAAGAGGATAATTAACTTTATCACTCTCTTCGATGTATACTTACAATATGTTCAGGGCTATGTATATGTTCTGCAGTCTGGCGACAATTTTCGTTGCCATGCTCGATATGATCGCATGGCAAAATAACAGGGCGCAGTACACGCCACTAGTATTCACCATAAAACGTTTTAGTGATGCAAGGAGTCAACGCGAGGAATCATGCTCACAAAGTTTGAGACACTGTAGGAGTAAAAGACAGATCAGATCCAATGCTAGCGAGTGCCATTATCTGCACAGCCAAACCCCAGTCAACACCTGCTGTTCCAGCTATATATCCGATGGTATTCGTGTCTGGATGATGTACTATTTCAAAATCTGGGACACAGTGTGCGTATTGTGAGGCCTGACTTACACCCGACTAACCAAGACAATAGTCGGCGATACCGTGGTGGGGAATAAGTGAAGGTCCAGAAGTATAAGCCACCAGCAGTGGGTGCAGCAGAGCCAAGCTCTGCCATTGCCATTGCGATAAAAACTAGAAAAATCGAGCAGGTTGCCCACTAACATTGCGGTAAGACCTAAGAGATAAAGAGGCTTTGAAAGCTTTGGCTTACCCCCCAAACCATTGCAGAGGCTCCTCCGTTCGGAATAGCATATACCAGCACAGATCTAAAGCAAGTACAATTCAATAGGGCTCGAGCACTATCAAAAGGAATGAAAACGTACGCAACAGAAGGCAATACTCCGATGATGCTGAAGCTAATCCCGAATATCTGAATAGCTGAAAAGTCGCGCTTCAATTCCTGCTTGTAACCCAAGCTGGCCAGCAGAGCATCGTCGTTGCCTCGAACATGAGACTGGGGCGGACTGTCCATGTATATTACGAGACAATCAACGTTCAATGTCACTTGGAAGGGCTGAGAAGAGTATAGCGGGGAGCTTTTGGAGCTGAATAATACACGGATCCGACCGTGTAGGGCAATGCCTCACATGATAGAAAGCAAGTAGTGATACGTTATCCGTAGCTTTTATATGTATAAGGTTTATGAACTGTCGTTTTCGAAAAAAGCAGATAAGCTAATTTGAAGATAACATAGATATGACTTTGAAGTGGTGAGAATTCAAGTTAGACGCACCCGGCAACTCGCTGAGCCTCGGAACGGCAGATTAGGAACTTGCAGGTAAATGCAAATGTTTTCAGTACTCAGCGCTCAGCACTCAGCTGACAGCCTTTCGAAGGGAGTTGATTCATTCTAACTGTCAGTAGCAAAGCATCAAGCCAGAAATTCCAATAATGATCCGCCTCGTATAACACGGACACATAGGGACCATGGATGTTGCTGTATCGTTATTAGGACTGAATGGAAAGGAAAGGTAAGATATATTGAGCAAAGTTGTCCATGTCCGTATCGACGCGGCTGCATGCACACTGGGTACTGAGCCTTTTGAATACCTATAAGCCGAGTGAATTGAGCGTACTAGTAGTGGGCTAGAGAGAGAGAGCTTTGTATAAGCGGCATATTTGGCTCGCTGTCAAGACCGCGGGTTGAGGTCCAACCACTTCATTACTTGGCTTTGTCGAAATAGGTGGCTGGACGGTTTCTATCAAGAAGTCACATTTTCTTCGAGCACAGGACCTATGTCTCAAATTTCACACTTTTCCACTGAAGGCGACATCGTTAGGTCCGAGTCTGACGTCTTGGCTACAGGGAAGTCCTACTTGTAAAAATTGCGTGGCATGTTCTCGAGCCATTATTCCACTTCAGACAAAGTTTGGCCACCACTTGTTGTCACAATTTCATTTGGTATCCAGATGTAGGAGCACTTAGTCTCTCCTAAGCATACTATGAGGAAGAAGACAGTCGTTCCTCCTGATATGTAGCGCTGGCCTCAGGTCTCGCTGCGCCCTAACGAGCTTTATCGCTTCCCAAGCTTCCTAATTTTAGTTGCGGTGCTAGGAATTCTTGTTCTTGGATCAGGCTTCGTTTCGCTGATAGGCGAACACTGGACATAGCACTGTGACACATGTCAGAGGCGCTCCCACTGGTACATCAATATATCTGGAGTCACTTTCTCTCACAAGAGGACTCCTCTGTGGCAGAGCAAGCCTCACGTCCAAGCCAAGGATGCTGTCCTGGCCTACTCCATTATATATTTCATTATAGCATCCTCCGGAGACTTGGACGACCGCTACAACTCCTGCATCTATCTACCACCTTTGTTTGATTGTACAGGTTGAGGCTGATGCTATCACAAAAATAAGTGGGAAAGATGCGTGTTGACCTTCATTTCCGGATTATAACGTCCAGTTGTGTAACGACAGTCCCAACACATATCACCCCCTCCTCTCTAAATCAATGTCTTCTTTGTCGGCACAGGAAGTAAACTACATTAATACTGGCTACTGGGGCAAGTATGGGTATGTTTAAACATATTTTCCTCTTCTGATCAATCGTTCTCTTCATTAGGGCTTCTCATATCCTCAATGTCTGATCATTTTGTATCCCATCCGAAAAAAAAAGTTGACATCTAACTAGTTTTCTGGGGTGTTCGCTGGTACAAGGCTACCATTACTTCCAGAACTACAATGATCGATGGTACTTGAAGGCAATGGTACGTGTCTCGCTGATTTCTCTGCCTGCACTCAGTAATGACAATGTCTATCTGTTATTATCAGGTTTGGACTATGCTGTACGTGGGCGTAGAGGCAGAAGTAATCAATTCATACTCAGAGCTTTGTGTATAGCGCACTTGATATCATGTCATGGGCATTCTTTGCGAAAATGATGCATTTCTATCTGGTAATAGTTTTCTTGTCTCTTTTTACTACTTCAGCTAATTCTCGTTCAGGTACAAAATTTTGATCGTCCATCCCAGATCTCCATTCTATTCTGGTAACGAGGACTTTATATAATTGCATTAATACCTATTGAAGAATACTTTAGGGGCAACAGTGCAGGGACATCGGTAGTATACGTGGTCCAACCAATGTAAGAGGAGTCATGGTTTTGTGTTTTTTCCTGGGCTTTTTTGACAGCATGTCAGTGCCCAGTTATTCTTCGCACACCAAATACGCGCAGGTTCGTTTATTTTAAGCATCAATTATTTGATTTCTAACGAGCCTAAGCAGTTAGCAATAAGAAGACTTGGATCCTGTCTGTTTTGATAGTGAACTTCCCCCTTTGCTCCTATTTCATAATGATATTCATTTTATTGTAGGTGTGTCTCGCAGTTACTGGTTTCGGTGAGTATACTATGTATCCATGTAAAAACAATCTCATGCATAACTTCGTCAGGTTGTGGGCTTGGTGTGTCAGGCTGCAGTCTGATCATACAGACTTTAACTTAGTATTTGATGCATTTCCTAGCTTTGACTGTTTTGCTGGCTACACATAACAGTCTTACCTATAGTTACAGCAAGCCAGTCAAAGTATGTGGTTTTACCCAGCACCGCATTGCAAAATTCTGATCTATATAGATTGTGGCTGTTCTGTCTATATCAATCCCAACCGCTTGTGACATCATTGCAACTATCGCAATGTGGTATTTTCTTGATTCAGTGGGGAGAGGTTTCAGAAAGTACGTCATAACTATAATTCCACACTGTTGGGTTGGTGTGATATCGTGATATAGGACGGATGGCACTATCAAATCTCTCAAATTTCTCGTTCTTAATCGTGGTTTACTCCTAGTTTCAACGCAAGGTATCTTGTTGATTATATGGATTGTAGATATGGAGTCCTGGTACTGGTACGCACCACCTTCGCATATCTCCATCACTCACTCAAACTATGGACTGACCAGGCGTTGATGTGCAGGTTGCCTTTTCATATGAATACGGTCAACATTTATGTCAATACCACTCGTGAGTGGTCCAGCTAACGTGAAACTTATGTCGTTAATGCATATTCAGTTGTCATGTATGTATCAGAACAATGCGCCCAGATTGCGTACTGATTTTTCTGGTAGGTTGAATGAGCGAACAAATATCCGGGAAAAAGAGAGAGAAAATGGTATAATGTCGTTAAAACTTGCTACTCGCAACCAATTTTCTCTACGATTTACTCCCATGGATGCATTATCTCGACCAGCCACGGCACAAGATTCGGAGGCAAGTGGCGCTGGAGAATCTTGATGCGTTCAATCTAACACTACCAACTTTCCTAGGCAGACAAGAGCGAGCTACACAAGCAAGGGGATAGTGAATTATATTGTGCTCCTGAAAGCGAAGTATCTGGGTTCGACCTAACAACAAATAGGCGAGGCTACTCGAGAGGGGGGCTGGACCTACCGTCGCCCCACGGCAATGAAGAGATCGTCGCTACTCCCATTGACTTTTAACTCGGTCCACGATGTTCCACGATGCCCCACGATGCAATACGAAGCTACTATGTTTATGATGTCACGAATATTTATATACAGTATGATGAATGTAGACCTAGACACTGCGAAAATCGATACATGTCTGTGATGTTCTGTTATGTGAACTCGATGAGAAAATTAGCGAGCTCTTGCCCAAGAGTACACTAGTAAAAATCAGCAAAGAACGTGGGACGTTCCACTAACCCAATAACGACCTTCTACCCCCTCAAATTCCCATCGCACGCTCCATAGAACCTGATAACACAGATAACGAAGATAACTATAGGTGGGCGCACTCACCTCAAAATTGACATGCGACAGACATGATTATTTAGTAACCAATTTCAATTCAATGGCACTATTTCAGCATGGTGCTTTATCATTTGACGTCGTGGGCCCGGAGGTGACGTGGACAAATGTGCTGATAACAGCCATAACGCAACGTTACTGTATACCAAGAGAAGGCCTCCGTGGCGTTTTATTATTGGATATCCAAGTCGAAGGGTATATCGGCTCCGGTGACGAGGGTGTGGATAGATGAGGCTTGAGAACAGGGATGGCGATGTCGGGAAAGTCTGGGAAAATGTGATCTAGGTTGCGCGCAGGGGGCATGTATGGATGATATAGAGACGCCGGTCCCGAGAATGAGATCTATTTTCATGCTCGACTTGTAGCACGCTGGACGTCGAAAGATAGATTGCCTCGACTCCGCGAATTGATTCACTGCACCCAGCTTGAAGCTTGAAATCTAGTATCACCCGCGATCTTGTCAATGATATCTGAGGGCGGCGTAGAGGGTCGTATATGCGCATGATTTCTGGCAATGGCCCGGGGATCGGCGGCACGCTGGGATATTCAGAGATACATTGACGCGATCGATGCTTCCAGGTTTCAGGTATCTGGGGCAAGGTGGACTCAGGAAAAGCGGCCAGACACTGGCAGGAACTGCATAGACAGCGTCGCGTGATCTTGGACACCAGTCGATATTGGTCAATGAAGGTAGTATCGCCTGAAATCACAGGATAGTTCACCGCATAAGATCTTGAAAATCCACTCCCGAAAATTTCGATCTACTAATATGCTCGACCCGACGTTGTCAACTCCAAGTTCAATGCTCAGCGCTCAATGCTCAGCGTCTAAGAATGATAAAATGATAGACAACATAAGTCTCTGAATGACCACAAATGGTTCGAACACACACTACTTACAACGTACCTCCAATTCCAAGTCATTGCACCTCCACCCAAGTGATCGATGTCGTTGACCCCGTGGGTCCACTTCAAGTCACTCGCAACAAAACGAGGATAAGTGCCTGAGCGCAACCGACTCGACATATCGCCGTCATCACGATGGTATCCATGGCAGCGAAAAAAAAGGTGGGAGCAACTCTCTGACATTTCAAGTCGATAGTTTATTAACACATTTGACAGAAAATGTCATGATCGAGGTTTTGGCGAGAGATTGAACTTGAATACGACCGCTTAACTTGTCGACTTGCTTGTTTTTGAAAGAGGATGAGATGAGATCATAGAAATGTGGGACCCCCCTCCTCTGAGGACCGAAAAGTCATACTCGACCCACGACTCGGCGCCTCGTTGGTGTGAATGTCTGAAATTCCATCACAAGAAAAGACACCATTAAATAATCAGATTAATATAAGTACCAAGCGCTTCGTACGGAAGTCGAGGGAGAGTGTGAGGGGGTTAAGCGACTACGATACAAATAAATCCAGGTCCATCATGAAAGTAACATCACCTGAAGGAAAGGGGGGTTTGAATAATAAGACAAAACGACAGGTAAGAAATTCAGTGCCTATGAATATATATATAGATATGTTTCCGAAAGCCAGTCGGAGGAAAAAACAAACACACCGCACACCAGTCTATACACACACACACACACGCCCACATCTACCATGGCACACCATAGCGTCCAAGACAGTAGTCCGCAAAGAGGCCCAGCCATACGACGTAACCCAATCCGTTCCCATTCGACAAGAAGACTTCGAAGCAGATTTTGCGATCGTCGAAATCTAGTTTGCAGATTTGCCATACTAGATGTATCGCGGCGCCCGCTACTCCGGTCCAGAAGCCCCATCCTTGGCCGTTAAACCATCCCGCTAAGGAGAGGAAGAGAATGAAGAGTGTAGAGAAGAAGGAGAGAATGACGATGGCATGCGAGGCAAAAAGGAGGGCAGTGGATTTGATGCCAAGACGGGCGTCGTCCTTCTTGTCCTGGGATCCATAGCAGGTATCGTAGTGCAGAGTCCAGCTAAGAGGTGAGGTGAGCTTTCAGCTAGAGGCAAACACTAGGCAGAACTTACCACCAGCTGCACACTAGAAGTAGAGCAGCAGGAATCCAGTCATCGTTCTTTACCACGACAGTCCAGGAGATCACGGCACCCCAGTTAATGGCGATCCCTGGTTGTGAAAAAATGTTAGCATTGAGCGACCAGACCGTGATATTTGCTCACCCAACCAAGCCTGTGGCCAGTAAGTTATGCGCTTCATGTATGGGTAGACGACATCCAAGAAAAACAGACCGACCAAACCCAATATAAACCTAAGCAAGACGTAAGAAAAAGCAAAGGACATAAAAATAAGGAATGAACTGACGTCGACGAGTTTGTGAGGGACAATAGTCCTAAACATATGAGGACTTGAGGGAAGAGGTAAGCCAGCGCTGCGGGCACGCTAAGCGCTCGACTAGCTAGTGGTCGTTTCTTTGTTCGCTCTACGAACATGAGGCATGCGGGTAAGCGACGATCGATGCGCACAGCGCGTGACTTACCGACTTCTCTGTCGATGTCCATGTCAATGATGTCGTTCCATATGCAAGCTGCGCTGTGGTGGATGACGCTTCCTATCCAGAATATGGCGAGGTATATTGCATAAGTTCTGAGTGAAAGGCCCTCCTTGTGTGCGGCCATGGTGAGGCCCCATGCTATGAGGTGGGTGAGCGCGACGAATGATATAGGAAAGAGCGAAAGTACCTGAAGGCCAGAAGACGAGCATGGAGCCAGCTATCATGTCTAGCCTTGAGAGCTGGACATAAGGCCTCATCCATGAGGGAACCTTGTCTGAAAGCTTCTTGGGTGGAGAAGGGAGGATGGGGGGAAGGGTGGGGGATAAAGAGCCTGATGCGGGGCGGGAGGGCATCAAGGACTGGGGCTGCTTTTCTGAGTTGATCATGATGGAGAGATGGGGGGAGGTGAGTGAGCGGTAAAAGAGAGGTAGGCGGTGCGTTCTTATTCTGCTGAGGAGAGGCTTGTGTTTGGCTTGGAGTATTCAGGACGGAAAGGGCATGATGGAAAGATGTGGCTAAATCAGAATGTGGATTCAGTTGAGTCGTTGGGCGATCAACAGCAACATGTAAGAGCGATGAACAGGTTTTTTTTGGTGACACAGGATAACGAAATAATGAAGAACAGACAGGAATAAACACCCCAAATCCGGGGTTCTTAGCAAAACACGCCTTGAGATCAGATTGACGGGCCGTGTTATGTTACAACAGTATGACTAGTAAAGTCGGATAAATGGAGTAAGCTGCCAAAGTTGGTGTCAGTGTTGTGAGATCGAGATGGGCAGTGTTGTGTGAAAGAAATAGGCGCTAATAAGAGCATTGTGGTATCTATCGATTGAGGAAGACAAGGGAACGGTGAGATGTCAACTTGGTTCGAACTTTGAATGAATTGCCTCCGCGGCACCGCCCATGACGGCAGTACGGGTCCAAATTTCAAAGTGTTCCTCACACAAAGTGTCTCTCCAGTCCCATGCCAGTCGTTTTATCAAACACGCCGTTGCCGAACGCTGACTCTATCTCCGACCTGTCTTGGCCAAGTCACTCCGACCACTAGCCTCAGTTTAACCTAACCCATCGGAACAATAGCTTTACAGAAATACTTGCGGTGCATTTAGTAAGCACTCGCAACACTTAATGACATGTACTATATCTTATCTAGTACCTTGCCTCCAAAGCCCTCATCAGCTTGCCAACATGTCTACATCAACATCAAACCATCCCCTGCCTATTCTTATTGTGCGTTCCTCTTTTTCTTCACACGTCCCTCGTCCTGACTTTTCCGCTCTATCAGGTAGGAGGCGGACCGACCGGTCTCGTTCTCGCCCTTGCCCTGTTGCGAAGTCGAATTGATGTTCGTCTCATCGAGCGCAGCTCTGTCCCACACGAAGGCATCCGCGGAACGGCGATAACTGTAAGTGGCTCATTTTACTCCGACTCATGGCGCTGCACACTCTGAAACTCGCATCACTTCTAGCCCCGTACACTAGAGCTGCTTTCTCTCCTTCAGGCCGCTGACAATGTCCTTGCCGTCGCAACACCCCCTCTGCTCATGGCCATCTACGGCGACGACGGAAAGACCCTTCTCAAAGAACTCAAGTGGTCCCCTGACGCCGATGACTCCCCCGCCATACCTTACGTTCGTCCCCACACCTGCAGTCCTATTTCACACCCTCACCTCGTCATCTCTCATCTCAGCGCCACATAGCCTCCATCAGTCAAACACAGCTCGAGAAAGTGCTCCGTAAACACGTGGAGAAACTCGGCGGTAAGATCGAATTGGGCCTACAGTTACTTGACATTCCGAAGAACAGCCAGCAGGGCGTGACAGCCCGTGTCAAATCAGAGGATGGCACCGAGTTTACAATCGACTGCGCGTATCTCCTCGCTGCTGACGGCGCCAAAGGTACCCTATTTCCATATCTGGCATCCATTTCCTCAAGTCGCTCACCGAACCCCGCACTTCAGGTCGAATCCGCAGGTTGTTGGGTTTATCCTTCCTAGGCGAGACCAACGATTCTGAAAGAATGTTCACCGCCAACGCCCTTGTACCCGGTATCGATAGAGACGTAAGCACAAACGTGGCTATTAAAGTATCGCGTATCGTATTAACCTTTAAACGCTCCCGCTGTGTACCTCCATATGCTTAGCACTGGCACCGCTGGGGCGATTTTGCCAAAACGGCGTCAGTCGCAACCGCTTACTCAGGGCGCTCTGATCGCCTTTATAATATTTGTTTTAGTTGGCTGACGTCATGTCATCTTGCAGTGTCGCTCTTAAACCTTTGTACCCTGCCCCGTTATTCCATTTGCAAGCTTTGGGTCCGACCCTACCTGAAACGCTTCCAGACGATACGAAGGGCGTGCAGAGCCTGTTCAATTCTGTCGCTCATCGAGATGACCTTATTATCGAAGAAGCATCCTACGTGTCCGAGTGGAGGTACGATAACTTCCACGATATGAGCGTATGGTAGCATTCTGCTTCTATGAGCTAATTGAATGCATTCTATCCAAGGGCGAATATTCGCATGGTGGATAAATTCTGCGTGGGGAGAGTTTATCTAGCTGGAGGTAAGTAATATACCCCCCGCTCTTCCAAAAAAACTGCGCGCTGAAAATATTAATTTGGCAGACAGCGCTCATGTTAGCACATATCCCTACTCGTTCTACTGAGAATGATATATCGATTATCAGGTTCATTCGCCTGCTGGCGGACAAGGAACCAATACAGCTATGCAGGACGCTGTACGTATCTCATCCCCCAACGCTCCCCAGCGATCCTCACCTTTCCTCATAGATCAACCTCGCTTGGAAGCTCGCCCTCGTACACAAAGGCCTCTCCCCGCCCTCCCTCCTCGAGACGTACGAAACCGAGCGCATGCCCGTCGTCGCCGAGATGCTCAACCTAACCACCCAACTACACGAACGAGCCTTCAACCGCATCCCCTCCACCGCCCGCAGCTCCCCAACCGAAGACCCCATCGACCCCATGTCCAGGCCGCTCAACCTCCTCCAGCTCGGCATCAACTACCGCTGGAGTCCGATCGTAGTGGAGGGCAGGGATAAAGCCGAGGCGAGGGGGCATCAGGATCCGCACGGTGTGGCGGGCGGCGAGCTTCGAGCGGGCGATCGGGCACCGGACGCCACCGATCTGTCCGTAAGGGGCAAAGACGAAGGCGGAGCGACGACATCGCCGCCGGTGGCGCATCACACCATGTACGGACTCGTCGCTGCCGCGAAAGGCAAGCACGTCATCCTGATCTTCCCTGCCTCTTTGGAGGACGTGAGGGGCAGTGTGGAGGGTTTGAGAGGCTATGTGCAGAGCGGGGTGGCTGAGGCGTTGGTCGTGCTGGAGCCTGGGATGCGAGAGGCGGTAGGCGGGGTTGAGGCGTATGGCGCTCGGGTTTGCGTGGACGAGAGTGGACACGCGCGTACTGGATATGGCGTCGAGACAGGTTCCACCGCTATTGTCGTCGTTCGTCCCGACGGAATCATCGGCGCTTATGTCCTTGGCATCGATCAGGCCCACGAATATTTTTCTCGAATTCTGTATGTGTGAGATAGAAAAGAAATGAGTGTACGATATGTATTGATGACGAAATCAATTGCTTCCTACAAGAGCAGTCGAGGTCTTGGCAACAGGGATACTATTCTGAATCGAATCTATCCACATGATTAACGCAAAAGCAAGTCTATTGGGACAATGCATGCAAATTAATGCGAGAGTACACAAGAACATTACGACTGGACAAGGGCCTGATTAGAGAATTTGAGATCCGAGGAATTTTGAGTAGAAAACATAATACGAAATGCGCGCGTAAGTCCAAATCGAGAAAACAACAAACCATATAGACTACTTGCTAGACTGCGACTGCCGCGTCGACGTCACAGCCAACGGCACCTCCTCCTCCACAGGCGCCTGCACCAACGCATCGCCTCCCTCCTGTACCGGCAAACTCTTCGACGTCCTGTAAAAGACAAGAGTAGCCAAAATCTCCACCCCTTCCAACCCGAGCAAAAACCAGAATGCGAATTGCTGTCCCTTGAAGTCATTATCGGCAGCGCCCGAGTGATTTTGTATATTGGATTGAATGGCGGATATGATGGGCACGCCGATGGCTGTTCCTAGCTGGAGAGACGAGTTGAAGATGGCACCCACTGTGCCGGCTTCTTCTGCAGGTGCACTGCGGAAGATGACGATGCTGTGAAGTCGATGAAGATGAAGTGATGTTAATGAAACGAGGAGTCAGTGGAGCGCGCCCGTTTCGGTCAAGCGACTAGCTCACTTTGTACAAGAAAAAACGAGCGTGACGCCGATGGGGCCAATAATGAAAGCCGGAAAACAAATCGACCAATACCGATCTCCCCCATTCCCAAACGTAAGCAGTATCGTCCCTATTGCCATTAGGATATACCCTGCAATGATGATCAGCTTGGGCGATATGATGTTGGGCAGGTTGCTCGTGAGCGGTATGACGAAGATGACCACGAGTCCTAGAGGGAGGCTGAGAAACCCCCGAATGAGCGGTTAGAGCAGTGCATCAGCCCTATACCCAGATCACATGGTGCCAAGACTCACAAATGTACAGCAGCAGATAGTGGCGACCAATGAAGTGTTTCTTGCCAGTAAGATGTGAGCTGGTAGAATGTCGATGAAAACCAGAAGAAGGGTACGATTGCTGCAACCGTCAGAATAACAAAGTTGGGGTATCTCCACATTCTCGGAGGTCTGATTACAATCAAGTCAGAAGAAGAATTGGTTGGAGGAATCAGAAGACTGACACTGCTGCCTGGCCTTCTGCTACGGTACGTTCCCATAGGAAAAAACCGACGATGAGGAACAACGATATAATCAGTGGAGCAATGAATGTTGCAGTACCCCATCCATACGTCGATCCAGAAGTAACGGCGAAAATCAGTAATATAAGAGCGGCTGAAACAGATTCAGCTAAAGCATATAGGAAAAAGAAAGAGATGAGATCCTACATGTGATGGTAGTGACACCGACCAAATCAATGCTTCCACGTTTTGCACCCTTGGGTCTATGTGATGTATCATTGGGGATAGCGATGGCACAGCAGACAGAGACGGGAAGCCCAACAATGCCTCCGATCCAAAACACCCATCTCCACGTCCCCAGGTCGAGTAAAAGTGCTCCAAATATAAGTCCTAGCACTGAAGAGCAAGTGAAACGTTTGTTATTCTACATGAACAAGTGAGATACCAGACACCGTACCATTTCCCAAAGCAGCCATCGCGCCGAACACAGTCACCGCTCGAGCTTGTTCATTTTTTTCGGGAAAATGGCGTACGATTAGGTGTAGTGCTGATGGAATAGTTAGGGATGCACCTGAAAATAGTGTAAATACTAATCTTGAAGTTATTCAATGAATGCGAAGTACTCACCCATACCAGTGACTGCACGAAAGATCAGTAGGCCTATGGAGTTTCGTATGAATCCACATGCAAGAGACAGTATACCAAAGACGGTGTTCCCAAAGAGAAAAACCGTCTCTGCAAAGACATGTCAGTATTGTACAATGAGAAAGAAAGATAACACACTAGGGTTGTAAACATCGCTTATTCTACCACTCTTTAACAGATAAAAAAAGACAGGCTAATTAACACGTGCCGCTTGGCATGTCAATGATCCAAACGACTCACGACGAGCAACAACGAAGCGAATGTGAGTTGATACGCCGCTATTAGCCATGGGTTTTCCTCTGCGTTCATCTTGAGCTCATTTATGACAGACGGCAACGCCACGAAGATCGCGGAAGAATTATAGGTTTCAAGGAACTGAGCAATGCAAAATAAGACCAGCAAAAGCCATCTACGCAGTGAGCTCATCGTCGCCTTCTGTTGTTTCTCTTCTTCAGTGGTAAGTATGTCCATCGTGCTCGAGGTGCGGCAAGATGCGTGGAAGTTGCAGAGGGGTCGTGACCGCCCAACGGAAATTCAGCCTTCATTATCCAAGGCGCTATCTTGAGCCGGCTCATTATCATCCTTGCACTGTATTCGGCTTCGGTGTTATGGTTCCAATAACTGCGCACCTCGATGAGGCAATGATGATCGGCATTCTAATAATCCTCCGACTGGACAACCGTGGAAGCAACTAAAATTTGGTAGTTTGGAAGTCTACTTTGGATGAGCGGCGTCGCCAACAACAATACTCTTGTTAGTTCCCACTTTTACTGTGTCCCCGATCTTTCGGTCTTGACTTGATTTTATTTCAAAGATTCTAGAGCATCACAATGCACATACAATCCATGTGATTCTGGGCGCTGGATCCTTCCCATATTTAGTGCAGGTATTCTTTGCGGCACGGTATTGCCTCAGCCGACCACCACAATAGCACAAACTTCGAATTAGCTTCTTCTGATTCCACTGGCATACAGTGTGCGCTTTTGTCGCTGATGGCGGCATGATGCGTTATTACTTTATCAGCTCCATCGCTGATTTGAATCCCCAAGGTTTCTGAATCGGCACGCCGCTGGATACCATGCAAGTGTGCTGGGTGAGAAAGAAATGGAACCTGCGTGATCCAGTAAAAAGACAACACGATCTAGTTTTGGAAGAGGGAGCTATAATAAAATGCGGCAGCCACGGCGAACTAGAAGGAGCTAGTAAAAGGGGCTGAATAAGGAACACAAAATGGATTGAAGGGAGAAGGCCAGAAAATTTCACCGACCTACGCGCCAAGCCATCGCAACCCTCAAGGTGCAATATGATAGAAAATGGAAAGACGAACTTACGTTCTACTATCTAGGACGACTTTGTGAGCAAATTTGGGCTCGGCCCCGGTGGACTTCCGACAATGATAAAAGCTAGACCCGTAGCATGAGCGGGTGCACTGGGTCTGTACGTTTTAAAACATATGATTAATACTGATGCCAAGCTGTGCTTGTAGACTTGCCAGCATTGCTGCGTACCACGATGTTCAGGTGAGGCCAGCGCTGGTTGGCATGAAGTTAACACTAGCATAAGCGATAAACATGAGACAAGCTTTAGGAGACGTCACAGGTTATGTAACTATACGTGACCATGCCAAATTAGGATTAGGGTCCATGGAAGTTTTTGTGGGTACGATTTACTGCTTTGGGATGCATAGTGCCCGCGGAGTTCTAATCGAACGTGGTTCCCGAGTATGTGGTAATTTGTCAACATATTCCAGAATGGTCCCTTCACAAGGGCGCATATGAATTATTATCGCCAGAAACTTTGTGCGATTATATATTTTGTTATCCAGTAGAGTATGTCACAGGGACCAGAGGCCGTGCAGTGGAGTAATCCGATTGTGTGAAAACGAACACATGCCACTGTGCCTACATGGTGACTCGGGAACAACCCGGACGAATCCAAAATAAGCAGCCCTAGACTCTCTGCGAATAAGTGCTATTCGAATGCATAAGCAACCACATACCACGCCCGTCCGGCCGCATCATCCCAGCCGTACTTCCTCACAATTCATAGCATCTTCTTCAGTCTTCTTTGAGCGCTCCGCATTTAAAGGTCAGCTGTGCATTCCCGCTCTTGTCTCTGCGCCTGTCTTACGCGACTCATACTGAAATCGTAGACAATGTTCTCGCTCATTTCCTTTGTCAAGAGAGTCCAAAAGGTACTTGCTTCTTATTATCCTATTCTATTACATTCAGTCCTAACATCTTTTCCGCGGTGTAGGGCAGTAACCCTCCACAAGTTGAGAAAAAGTCGGACCCAATTCAGTTTGGTATCTTGGGGGCTGCCCGTATCGCACCAGATGCCCTCGTAAAGCCAGCACGGTACCATGACGATGTACGCGTAGTCGCCGTAGCTGCTAGGAGTAAACAGCGTGCGGACGAGTTCGGGAAAACCTGGAATGTTCCAAGCACGTACGGCGGTGACAATGGGTACCAAGGTTCGGCTCCTCCTTTTGAGTTTGCATCAGCTGTTGATACATTCACCTTATGCAGAACTTATCGACGACCCAGAGGTTCATGTGGTTTACAATGCTGTAAGTCGCGTTCATGTTCTCTTCTTGTCTCGCTCATGACGAACATCTCTTAGCTTCCTAATGCTCTTCACTTCGAGTGGACAATGAAAGCGCTAGCAGCAGGGAAACACGTGTTATGTGAGAAGCCAATAGCTAGCAACGAGGAAGAGACTCGCAAAATGTTCGAGCTGGCAGAGTCAAAAAAGCTCATACTACTCGAAGCTTGGCAAGTCAGGTCAGTACACCCACACGTCAGTCGCCACACTATTGACCATACAGTTCCATAGATTCCATCCAGCCATTCAAAGAGTAAAACAAATCATCGACGAAGGCTCACTCGGAAAAATGGTCAGCATGTCTTCAGACTTGGGTGTCTGGAACGACGTATTCTTCGTCAAGAACGATATCCGGTTCGATTACAGCCTTGGTGGTGGTGGTCTCATGGATATGGGACGTGAGTCATGAGCTGTGCTTCTGTTCTTGAGCGTTTCTCATGGCCTCTTGCTTACTGTAGCATATCCTATTTCCTGCATGCGATATCTGGCCTCTTCCAACCCTACCGTTGATAGCGCAAAGACAATCATTCGCTCGGAGAATATCGACAGATTAATTGACGCCAAGCTCACCTTCCCTCCTTCTCTCCCAGCCACGATCAAAACCGACTCCGCAATGGAAGGCTGGGGCCCTTTCAAACTATTCCCTCAATGGATAAAGATGGTCCTTCGCGTCGACTGCGAAGATGGCGCCATAGAAATCAGGAACTTTGTCTTACCACACGTCTGGCATTCCATCACTGTGATTCCTAAGAAGGGTAAATCGTGGGTAGAGAAGGCGTACAAGCCGAAGGAAGGTTTGGGAGAGGAATGGTGGTCCGCGTATGTGTCATCACTCGCAGGAAATGTTCGCTTTCCGCTGACATTCTGATTTATGTTTAGATACCGCTATCAGTTGGAAGCGTTCGTTGATAAAGTCAGGGGTCGTGAGCCCCAGGCATGGCGGTCGGCGGAAGATTCAATCGACACTATGAGAATTATTGATACGATGTATACCATGGCAAGTTCATCTCGCGTTCATGTCCGTGTGTTGCCGCTTACGCATTTCTGTTACAGTCCGGTCTTCCCCTTCGCCCTACCTCTGCATATACCCCTTAGTTAGTGTCTCTCGCGGATAATATTGGTTTTGTCGCGTTGTATCCTGCTTTTGTTGATCTTCTCTGTTAGGATTTGCTTTCCCATAACAGCGAGTGTGTGCTTCTCATATATGTTTTAGTGCTAGTTGTAAAACACTGCACTTGCTTTAATAATATGGATGGTTCAAGTTTTCTGTTGTATAAAGTCAACTTGTTACATTTAAACTGTTTTTAAGCTTGTTGGAATAACTGTCAGTCAAAAATAAGTCAGTGTAAACTTGAGTTTGTGGAATATTTGCATGACTGTTCATACATGAAACTTCAAACCAGAAAGGTACTAATTGTAATCAGTACACAGCATAATGACTTCGTCACTGGCATCGCATCTCAGTGACAATGACGTTAAATCCGAGGATCCCAGATTGCAGTTTCTCAGCATCATGATGCACAGTTGCTACCTTGACACTTTGATGAAGTAGCCATATCGACATTGGTCATGGTACGACTAGGTACAAGTTACAGGAACGATCGGAATTCAAGTTACAGCTACATGAAACCACAGGAAGCTTACAACGAATGCAGGTATTTAGAGATATCAAGGACCGAAGAAGCTTCCAGCGGCAAAAGGAGGCAGATATGGCCATCTGGGCGCACGAGAGCTACCACCCCACCAGTTATACCAAATTCCCGATATAAACTGCCAGTAGCATCCTTGACTCGTAAACCATCATCCATGAAAACACTAGTGCACGACACGTAAGCACGTCACACCCTTTCGTTCATCAGAGCGCAAACTTACTTCTTCGGGGGAACAAAAGAAGGCACTCGGAGTTTATGGGCTGTGGTTTCTTTGGGTACCTTGAACACCAGGAAGGAATCTAGCATGCGGAGTTCTTCATCACTGATGCTGGCCGTTAGCTTTTCGATTGCTTGCTCCCATTGGTCGGCGATGGCGGGCTGAGTGATGTCCCCAGGAAAGAGCATCATTTTGAATTTTCCGTTGTATGAAATTAAATCTTGTATATCAACGGGGTTCCAATCGCAATGTCGGACCAACGCTCCAGGCGGGAACCGTTCACCAATTCGCAAGCCATCAGCCAACTCCTGTGATTCTGGAATGATCAATGATGAAGAGTATTTCAGACCAATTCCCCTGAATAACATATGAGCATCCCATGGAGACGGCATTAAATCCTAATCAACTTACGTGGTGAACATGTTATGAAGTCTCCAAAGCCTTTGTTATCAACATCAGCTTCCATAACGACCTGGAAAAGGTCCATCTTACTCTGTGTATTCTTCGGGAGATACTCCTGCTGGATTGAAAAGCTTGAAAATTTCCTTGTCAAACTCAATCAGTTCAAAACTGTAAGGTCGGCGTTCTGCTTCATAGCTGTCCAGCAGAGTTGGTTTTGCCCAGCCTCGGATCACATATGCTATCTTCCATGCTGCGAACAGTGTCAAATTAATACATATCTGACGACAGAGAACCAACATACCAAGGTTACATGCATCAGTCATCGACGTATTAGCTCCTTGACCGCTCTTTGGGGAATGTGTGTGACCTTTTTTACAGAGTACGTGAGGCTGTCCTTGGGGAATAACAATTGTAAAAAGTCTCACATGCATCTCCAGCTATGAACACACGGTTCGAATGTGAAAACCTTGCAGCCACTCTTTGAGCCACTATTCAAAATTAGTTGATCCCCGCTCGACGAGAACATGTGAAGTTCACCTTTGTAGACGTTGGCCCAGGTAACATCCGTGATCTCCATCTTGAATGGAGAGAAGCCATCCTGGATGGTCTAGAAGCACATCAATAAAAGTCTGTTGCGATCAGGAATAGCAACAACTAACTTTGATAATTCTACGCTCAACTGCCTGGTCCTTATCAGGGACTTCAGAAACGTCGGTACTTCCCGATGTGGGATCTTTCAGGAGAATGTACATTCGAGCAGTGCCGTTGGGGCGAGGAAGGTACTGCGCGCTCAGGACCATGTAAGGATAACGGTAAGAAGCAAGTAGAAGCGGCTTACACCCATGGCACCCGATAAGGGCGATTGTATGATGTTCTTCGCCCAGGGTGTCGGGAAGTCGGTGAGAGGAGTAAAGTCGATGACACCCCACGATAATTCTAAAAATGCATTTTTATATGAATTGCTCAAAAAACTAACATGATGTAAGTGACAAACCAGTTTTCTCTCCTTCCATAGCTATATTCACAGATTTGCGCACCCAAGAATGGGCACCTGGGATGGATAAATTGAGGATATGTGATGGATTAAACTGGGGATGAAAGAACTACCATCACCGCCCACTACAAACTTGGATTGTATCACTTCTGTACGTTCAATCGCGGCTTCTTCTTTTGACAGATGTCCTCTTTGAGTTTGAGGGATAGATTGCGAGCGTAAATATTCCTCTTTCAAGTGTGCAATGGTGAGCTGTGTGTATTGATGATCAAATGAATTCAGCTCAAGAGTGAAAGGCCAGATACCTGGATTGGATGATTATCTGATCCTTGGGAGGTGGTTTCATCTATATCTATCGATATGGGTATAACAGGTTCCTCGACCTTCACACCATGTTCACCGATGGCTTTCCTCAGAATACCTTCAGTAATCGCTATAGGTGCCAAAACCTAAAAACATCTGGGTGAGCTCTTCTCTGTTTTGATGGGACCTGAGAAATATAGACCTCAAATGGATATCGAGTTGATGAGACTGCTATATTGAGAGTCGGACCGCTCTCCTAATGCATATTTCAGCGCAAAGTATCAGAGGGGAAAGTTTGGACGGCGGACCTTAATTCCGGTACCCTCGTCGTTAGGATTGTAAATAACCTAGAGAAAGAGAGTAATGAGAGACAGTAAGTTGTAGCTTGTTCTTCCTTACTGTCTTGTGAACATGAGTGCCGAGTCGCCTCAGTTCGTCTCCAAGACCGAAACTGTCCCAGATTTCGGTCGTCCGTGGCTGAATGCCATCAGCCTGTCCTGCAGATTCGCCTGGCAATCTACGCAGATCCAAAAATCAAAATAAGAAAGAAAAAACTGGACATCCGAGACGCTAATAAGCTCCCTGACCTTCTATCGATTATTCTGACCTTGAGACCTAAGCGACATAGGGCAAGCGCTGACATGAGCCCTGCAGGACCCGCTCCGACAACGATAACATCAGTATACGAAGTGCTTGCGTTAGACATCGAACACGACCGTGACCTTGTATAGATCTCTTGCAAAAACTAGCTAGCGAGATTGGTTCTTATAACTATTGGAGAAGGTTGGGGGTTTTCTATATTAGTTATGCCTATTCGTAGAATCGCACGGGCACAATCGGTCTTACCATCGCAGCCTGAGTGACCAGCGTTTACGATACCATTCTTGTCGAATTCAGTGGTTACTCAACCTGTAATGCATATACAAACCCTAGATAGTCGTTGTATTATCTTGTGTTCCCCGCTAAATCCACATATCCAATCTTCCTTATAATCTTCACGACAATGAATTTCTCGATCGATGAGGATTTGTGCATATTGCGGTCGAGGCTCAGGAGAAGACCCTCATATTCATCGTAGTAGCACATGTCTTGCAGACAAAGCGGTTTTCCACGTGATTTTGATACCAGAATCGTAATGGTGGGCCGGCTCTCTGGGTTGATGGTGGATGGAGAGCCTGTCTGGTGTTGGTGTTTGTTTGGCTACATGCTTTACTGGATAGGGCTCGATACTAGTCTTCTCTGTACGGTGGATGATTGGTTACGGCTCAACTTTCGAGCCCGGCCAATGTCCGGCATAATATTTTTCAAAATCCGATGTACCTTCAGCTATTATATTTGTATTTAGCAAAATTCGAGCAAGGCCTTTGATGGGCGATCAACGAAAATACATTTTAATTAATTTCTTTGATCCAGCGAGTGTGATTTGGGCAAAAGCCAGTGTGATGAGAGATCGAGCGAGCGTGCAATTCAACATGTCAACATAGGATTTCAAGCGATACAGTAAGTACATGTCATGTAAAAAAAAATCCCTCTCAGCCACGAACACGACTGGACATGATGTCAATCTCTTGTGATGTTCTCATCTTTGTAGCCGAACTCTGTGAAAAAAGAGGTGACATGAGATGTAGTAGAAAGGATCCATCAGAAAAAGAAAACATACTGCTGTCTGCAAGGAAGGGAGTCCGAAATATACACAATACTGGTTGCATTTGTGCAACAAGGGGAAGTTGTCTAACGTCGCCGTCCAGTTTCCTTCGCCAAAATTATCGGCAAAGTCTCTGGGAAAGGATGAGAACCAACCACATGGAGGTAATAGAGCCTTACTTGGTAGTGATAACCTGGCAGTCAGTCAATATTCCACCGGACCCTGACAAGTCAAATGTAAGTACGAAAAGGAAAGCAAAAGAGACTAGCTTATATTAACTTACCTTGAAAATCTGAGATGAACACAAGGCCTTGCGAGAAATGATATTGAGTGTGTTGTGCGAAGCATAGGAAGGTTGCAATCTCCAGTTCAGGCGGAGCAAGTTTGTGCCGAGGAGCTGCACTATTGTTATTGATATACTTCACGAAGTTACCGTTTATCTTCTCCTCGAGAAGATAAACGGCATTACGCAACTCTCTGCTGTCTTGGGGGATGGCCAAAGCGGCGTGGACGACTCGAAGTCGGGGGATTGCCGGGGGAGGACAGTCAAGGGGCCTTCGAATAAGCTTGTCGTCGACGAAGTTATAAACTAAAGCCAACAGGCTTGTTGCCCAGTAAAGGCAGTTAGCCTCGTCGAGCATCTTCATTAGCTCATCCTTGATGGCCAGTCGTTTGCGCCCGCCTGAAGGACTTGATGGTGTACCACTCTTTTCGGCTCCCTGTACTGTTTCTCTGTAAAAGCAACGTTTTGCTACTATAGCCTCTACCTGTAGAATATTTTCCTCTGCTGGCAGAGCTTCAGTTAGATCATATGACGCTGGGTGGCATGTCTTGAAGCTACCGGCTGGCCCCAGCATTGCTTTTGAGCTGCAGTCAACTGTTAAAGTGACTAGAGGGCGATTGACCTTGCTCATGACATCGAAAGGGACCCGCTTCTTTAGAAGCTCAGTGAATGGGATCGAAGGGACGAGGAACAGGACATAGATTCCTATGTCCGTATTTACTTCACTAGCACGTTAATAGATGTTTTAGATAGAAATATAGGTTGACTTACATATCGGCTTTGCTAGGCGTCGAACATCTCCTTGTGCCTTCATGACACGCTCAAGAACTGCCTTGTCAGGCATGCTGAATGGCGGGATATTGGGATTAGTAGCAGCCTTGGAGAAAAGTCTTGAGGGCAGTGATTGGCTGCTAGAGCTTGAGGGAGTGAGGGGGCGTAGTTCAGACGTCTTGATGGAGTGTTTGCTGTGGAATAGGCTTGACATTGATGCTGTGCTGCGTGTATTGTTACTACGACTGTCATATTCACCCTACATGTGGTAAGTATCGTCTCCAATAATGTGAGGGCCATTGGCATACCTCCTCTGACACTGGTGCTTTTGAACGCACAGATACCGACTCACGTGCGGGGATGGAAGATTGGCCTGGCGCCTTTCGCACACGAGTCTTTCTAGCTCGTTTCCCACCACGTGTTGCTGCAAGGAATATCTAGTAAGGCCAGTTGCTGTAAGTATAGCGCAGTAAAAGTAAGTAAAATGTATAACCTTGTCCATCGGACCACCAATATCATCATCGTCTGACGATATTCCGGGGCTCTGAACCTCTTCATTGCGTGAGCGTGCTTTGGCATGCCTATCTTCTTCCTTCCATAGCAAGACATCTTCAAATTCCTCCTTTGACATCAAGAGAATGATGGGAACTTTCACGTTTGGTGAAAACTTGGGCATGTTGTCCTTTGCTGATGTGCGGAAGAAAAAATCGTGAAGGACCAGCCGCTCAGAGTATTGATGAGGCTCTTCGGGGTCGTAAATGAGGAGTAATGGAGCCTTCAGCATCTGTAAAGACTCGAGTGCCAGCTGATGGTCACAAGACCAGACCACCCACAAACGCTTCAGGTGTTCAATCACTATGTTGCGTAGTTGGCCACATTTAATAGAGAGCGGTACTGTAATGTCTCGTTCAATATTCTCAAATAATAGTACATGTGAGTATCCTTGAAATATTGAAGTACCCAAAGACTCACCCCAACCAGCTCTGTTCCAGATTTTCCTTCGTCCTTCACATGATGGAGAGCTATCCGGATTGTGACTTGACGTTGAGGAGCTACTGTTGATGCTAGCATTTTCGTGCGGTGGTGGGCGTGGAATGCATGGTTCTGAGTATATCCTATGGCTTGGGAGACGCTATCAGCACTGACACTAGCAGACGAGGGGATAAGAGGGGGAGGCATAACGCTAGATGTAGCATGTCCCACCCCAATATGCTGCCTAGGGAATGACTGTTCTGGGATTTCATAATGTGTGTTTGGTAAGTAACTTGAACACGCACAGGTGAGCTGGAAATTTTACTCACCGCCACGTTGTGCGGCCGAAGAAGCCTTGACAAGAGCCTGGCGCGAGTCGGCATCAACACCATGTGCCCGGGAAGCCACTTTCGTGAAATCTAGATTTGATCCTTAACATATACATTGAATTACAGAAGACAATCAGACATACCGACAATTTCACCAGATATTGCACTGGTACTATGACCATGACGTTCTCCAGTTTCCGCACGCTTGCGCTGATAATGCTCGACGCAATCTGAACAGCAGTGGCGACCGGTCCCATCCCTACCCTTGATATACAAGAACCGGACAGACTTATCAAATTCTGTACGACAACGATGACAACTTTTAGTTGGTGGGCCTTCGATAGTGGGTGTGAAGTCCATGGCGGCTAATTTACTTACTGTTCTCCCCCCATTCCTGGTGTAGTTTATATGGATCCTTGAAGATGAGTTGTAGTCCGAATGGATTTGGGTCGAGTCGAGTCAAATTTGAGAACTCCTCGGCACAAAGATAACAATGAGGACTTTGCCAATCTGAGTGGCTGGCGACTCACCAATGGGCCATCCTCGAACAACACGCGGACAAGGATCAATATGGATATGTCAAAGCTGGTGATTGCAAATTGACATGAGGAGATGGGAGATCTTTGCGGAGATAATGTCAGTGAAAACAAATGAGGAAGAGGCAGGCACCGGTTAAATGAATTGCGTGCAAACACGATCTGATTAGCCTTACGGTTTTGTCTGAAGTGCGTATCCAAGTGTCTATTGAGCGGATCTTCCATATCCTTTCTGCCCATAGGATCACTTGAAGAACTGACTCCACTGCTTACACTGAACAGGCTGTGGATCAAATAGGAAGTGTACTATTGGACTGTGCATCCTATAGGTGAGTGTTCAAATTGCAGTGCCCCACGTGCATCAGCCAAGTGCTAACGCTATCCAGGACTGTCAACGCCCTGCAGGCCATGCCTAACCCTCAAGGTACCAATGGGTATAAGGTATCCCCTGGTAGGCTTGCATAAACGACACTCCAAGGGTGTAATGCTCACTTTCTGTCCTTTTCTCACAGCTCCAGACATTTTAATCCGACCATTGGTGGAACAATTCGTCGCAGATGGATACACAAATCCAGAAATTGTCACTAAACTCAAGGACTACTATGACACGGACCGCTACTCATTTTCGTAAGCCTTCTAGCTGTAATACTACAATACACTGACACATTTGATTAACTATAGTCTCGCTTTACTGAAGAAAAAACGGATGGTTTGGGGCTTGAAGAGTGCTCGGGGCCAGGCACACTCAGTTGATAGTGTGGGGCCTACCATTGAACGTGTTCGTGAGCGGTTCCCTCACCAGGGGTCACACGATATGAGAGTGACTTTGCGACAAGAGGAAAGGGTGATGGTGCCTCGGTAAGTTGTTTCACTTTTCACACAGTGGCAGTCACAAGGACGTTAGTATACTAGGCAGGTAATACTAGACTACATGAATCTACACCATCCAGACGAAGTAAAAGGACGTCGAAAACGCCGGCTGAAGCGTAGTTATTTCTGGACAGCAGGTGTCAATGAACTGTGGTGTTTTGACCAGCATGATAAGTGGAGACGCTTTCAGCTTTTTTTTCACGTTGGACTCGAGCCCTTCTCCGGCTATGTACTCTGGCTCAAAGTCTGGTGGACTAACCATAATCCGCGTCTGATATGTGGATGGTATTGTGATGTCGTGGAGAGATTGGGTGGTGAGTCTCTTTCTCCGGTGTTTCAACTGCTTGGCTGCCAATTGCTGACTTATACTAGGGATGCCTCTAATCACACAAAGTGACCCCGGCACTGAAAACAATGGTATCGCAAACGGCCATACATTACTTCGTCATATGCAAGACCCGGCTTTAGACAAGACCCTGCAACATACGTTCAAAGGATCTCACCGGAACATTAAGCCTGAGATCTTTTGGGGCCAATTTCGAAGACGTTGGGCGCCGGGATTTGAGGCTCTCCTTGACTGGGGGGTCAACGAGGGCCTTTATGATGCTGACGATGCTCTTCAACGGTTGCGTATATCCATTTACCTAAGCAAAGCGGCCACAACTGACACAAACCTGTAGACTAGTCTTCCACTATGTATTTATCCCCTGGATACAGCAAGAACTCAACTGCTTCATTGAGAGGTTCAACGGTTCAAAGCCCCGACGAAACTCACACAAGTTACTACCTCATGGACGCCCTGTAGATATCTTCAAGAACCCGGAGCTTTTTGAGTCACGCAATTTTGCTGTAAGTTCATAGTATCATTTCCACTTTGTCATATACTTATAATACATACATCTACAGGTTAAGGTGCATCCGCCGTATCTAACAGAAGTGCGAGACAAGTATGCACCACCCGATCACCCTGTTTTTCATCTGGTCCCGCCGGCCTTTTCGTTACAGGCACGCACATTCTGGGATGCTGCCAACTACCCTCAAGTTGGCCGAGAAAACATATGGGACATCTATTTACACTTACTCCAGCAGTTCCGAGATCAGCCAAACAACATGGAGTTGCGTACTGTGATGGCCCTTTCAGTGAACTCTAATGAGGAGGATGAGTCCGAATTCATGCCAGTCATGGAGCTTCCACCCCACCGGCAACGGAGGCGCGTTGTAGGAGATGCACCACAGAACACCGGGGGCTACTCATCTGACGAAGCTGATACAGATTTTGAGTATGAGTGGACAGACGACTCGGATTAGCTTAGGCCTTTTAGTATGTGTTCTGGTCTTTCTTGTTTTCTTGAAATGCACTTTGGATATCAAATCATTGTATTGTACATAGAATAGCTAAATACAACAATGAATGTTTCTATGGAATCATGCTTTGGGCCCGAGAACTTGAGTTCTGGAATGCACAACTGTGCAGATGCTGTAAGGAGCAACTCACACCGAGTTTATTTGTAATTTAATATGGGAATTGTACCTTCCAGTCTCTTTGAGATCTCCTTGATCCTCCAAGCATGTGAGTACAATGGGATTCCATTGTGCGTCGGCGGAGACCATTGTTTTGGCTTTGCGTTGAATCATTTGGTTAGTGCGGGCTAATATGAGACATATGACCACAAGAAAGAGCTGGAACTGACTGTGCATTACTGTATTGGCGTGAGCATGTGGTTGACGCGAAGCTCTTCAAGAATGTGTCGCCAGAATTGCATGAAAAGATTTACAGTGCTGTCTGAACAGCTGATTATTCCGAGATCGTGAAGTACACACGTGATGTTGATTTGTTGGACCTTAGCTATTGTTCTCACGCATGAAAATTCTGCAACTCTGTCAGACTGCCGTGTTTGTAGATCTCAATAATTGTCAACTATGGGCTGTAAGTCTATGCTGCCTCAAGCAAACAGCTATAAAAGGTACGGGTGAGTTCACAATTATCATCCAGACATACTTACCTCCTCCTTCCAAATTGCAATGACTCAATCTCCTCCCCCTGGTCGTTCAAACTCTTCCAAGCAGCCTGAACGCTCCGTGAGTGAAGATTGCCTCAGCGACGAGGAAGAAACTATGAGTAAGGCCTTCTCATGTTTCTGATTATTGCACTAACTTACGTGTACCTCCAGACATCCTCCTTTCTCTCCTCTCATCCGTAACCTTGAGTAGGAGCAACGCTATGCTCATGATGTCCGCTGTTCTTGGCAGTGCCCGCCCTTCAACTCCATCAAGTCCCATATACACCAGCTCTTCCCCATCTTCCTCAATAGTTCAAGGGTCGCTTGCCGCCAGCTCTACTGTGGTATCTGGTCCTTCAGCTGCTGCTTCTTCACGCACTCCTGCTTTGGGTGCCGCCTCTTCTCCGCTTACTCCTGCTTTGGGTGCCAGTGCTTATGCGACAGTTTCTCCGATCACCACCAGCTCTCCTCTTTTCACCACAGCACTTGGCTCGCTCGCTACCCCTGCCGCTCCACCTGGAGGTAATGTGCCAAATGCCTCACAGGCTATCACTCGCACATACCTCGGCCAGGTTTATGAGGTTCCTGATGCTGGGACAGCTGGTCCCTTCTATTTGGTCACCAGAGGACGTAGAATTGGTATCTTTGCTGCGTGGTAAGTGACCTTTGACTCGTCGACTTCGAAACTGTCTCATCTCTATTTTCTCAGGCAGTCTACCTCTCCTCTCGTTATCGCTGTCAGCCGCGCCGTTTTTACTCGCTGTCCTTCTATTTCCGCCGGTATCACAGCCATGCAGAACACAATCGAAGCGGGTGAGGTGGAGATCTTACCTTGAGGAGAGGGGTTGTCAGTATATGTGTAATACTTGTAATTTCTTGATGTATTTGGACGCTTGAAATCCTATGTTGACATATTGAATTGCACGCTCGCTCGATCTCTCATCACACTGGCTTTTGCCCAAATCACACTCGCTGGATCAAAGAAATTAATTAAAATGTATCTTCGTTGATCGCCCATCAAAGGCCTTGCTCGAATTTTGCTAAATACAAATATAATAGCTGAAGGTACATCGGATTTTGAAAAATATTATGCCGGACATTGGCCGGGCTCGAAAGTTGAACCGTAACCAATCATCCACCGTACGCTCAAACCGAATATGGTCAATCTTCCTTCGTTCCGTTAATCAAACCAAACCACAAGCGTTCCAAAAAGGCAATGCACACTCACGCAACGGCGTTCAGAACGATAGTGTGGCCACGCCGCGCATCCAAGTCAGGGATGCATGATGACAGTTTCTAATTAGATGGTTAAAAGCTGCACTCCTTGTCATCGTAGCATGTTATAATGTTTTCAGTTGCAGTTTAACTTGAGCCTCGACCGAGGGAGAATAATGTTTCACCGTGGATTCTTCTTAGCACTATATTCAATTCAAGTCAATGTACTCTCCAGCTGACATCCAGGTACAGCAACAGGTATGAATTTACAGATAAGCCAAGTTCCGCCAACATACCATCAATTCATTGGCAGGTACTCAATCAATACCAAGTCTGATCTGACAAATTAAAAGGAGTGGATATATAGTATTGGAAAAGGGGATAAATCGGATGTTATACATGCAAAAATAAATGGCAAAAACCAAGCAATTCATCTTAGCCTGACTGCTACCGCAATCCAAGGATGCCCTCTCTTCGTCGAAATAGATCTCAACACTCGTCCGTCATGCTGCTCTTCATAGTTACTGTCTTGAAGTTCATATCGGATCCCCCAAGCTGAACAAACATCTCAGTAATGACCCGACTACGTCGGGGATGATCCAATTACTCACGGTATGACTGCCATTAACTGAGTCATGAAGTCTCGCTTGGAAGTTACCACTGAGCTCAAGGCTCGGGTGATCGGCCCTTTTCAGGCTTTCTCTCCTGTTGAGACTGGGAGATAGTGAGTGTGCAGAGCTCATACTTCATAAACGAAAACCACGTACGTTGCCAAAAATGATATCATGTAAACTATATATCATGAGTAAGCTGGTAAACATAAGAGGGTTTGGCCTTACCTTTGCTTAGGCACAGATGGAACAGCGTCCACGCCATGGTGGTAGAAGTGATGAACTAGAAAATATGAAATCAGACTCTGGACGATGTTGTAGATATGATACCCTTACCAAGACCATGTTCAACGTTTGCACAATACTGTTAAAAAACGTTCATATCGGGACTTGGTAGACCAGGTCTTGCACTCACAATGTCAGGATACCTCTATTCAGTGTGTAAATAGACAGCTTATCGAGAAGTGTGTCGGTCCTGGAGGCAACGGTCAGCCATATAACAACTAGCAGTGTCTCACAGGACGTACGACCTGAAGCCGTTCTTCCTGTAATGGAAATGGTAACAAAGAGTTGCAGTGATCGCGATATCGCAAAGAGCGGCAATCCCAAGGTCGAGACCCGCTAAAATCTGAAAATGGTCATTACTTCAGACCAACATCTAGATAAAGCGGATAAGCTTTACCTTGAATCGACTCTCAGACAGAGAGGCAAATGACGCTCGTATTATATCTTCTGTCGACATCGCTAAAGACGAAGGATGAGTATTACTTGGGAGGGATATCCTCAAAAAAACTTACCTAGACCAATGACTACACCGAGACAAATGAATTGTCAGTTTCATCCTGGCAGCATAGTTGACAACAAACTCGCCCAAAGCAGCGAATGAGGTAAAAGCCTAGAATATATTAGCAAGGCGTTGCGATGTAATGTGCTCGAATTACTCACGATGAACCCCGTAACCAACACGTTGTGATCAGTTACTACATAAACATTGGTGAGACGACGATCATCAGCAGACATCTCACGACACTTACCACTCCATACGCTATTGGCGAAGAAGCTAAACAAAAACTCAGTAAAACGCCAAGCTATATCTGCGGATAGACGAACCATTGGACAACAAACGTTATTATGACCTGTTACAATTCAGTACACTTATCCTTATCCAGTTGTATATACAGTCAAAGTACATACAGTGATCATGCTTTCCACCTATTGAATGAGTCAACTCCTGAACCTTGATCGAGGGAGAAAAGTACTTACACAAAGTCCACTGGAAGTTTAAGGCGGGGACAATGAGGAGTAGTGGATGGTACAAATGGGAAGTTTACGCACATGTTTATGTCTGCAAGAGCCAATGGATTTCCATAATTCGTAATGAGGTATGAATACAGACCCTGAGCGCTGCAAGCTGTTCCCGCGGTATCAAGGAGCCTTGGTGAAGAATTGAGCATGAACGTGAGTGAAAAATGAGGACAAGCCTACAATACTAGGACAACCTTGGAGACAGATAAGAACTCGCTGAGGATATCGCTTGATAAGGGCTTACCGAGTATTTTAGAAGGAGGTTGTCATTATACGTTCGGAAATAAGTGTAGCACTGAAGTATCTGTAGCGATAGAAAATGTTCAAGTTTACATCCATGGATTTCGAGAATAAGAAAACGCACTGTGACACCGTAAAGGCTGAAGGAGTAATGATCTAGTTATCAATTCTGGTAGATCGACGTTATTGCAAGCTCACCATGTTGCTATTGTAAAGGCAACGAACAGCAAACCGAAAGTAAGATCGAGTGCAGCCATTCCCTGTTTTCCGATGGTCAGTGTGCGTGAGAGGAGTGCGGACGAACTTGAAGAAGCGTGGACCCAGGCTGGTTATATAAGTAAGTACTTAGCCATATCGATCGATGTTAGACTATCACAAATATGTAATCTATATTTCGTACAGCTTGTCACACCACCTTGGGTATCACATACAAATATACTTCCAACTGCCCTTGACCTATCTGCCAGGTAGGACTTTGAAAACTGTCTGGGCCATTGAAACAGATAGAAATTTTAGATGGGACCGTCTGTGATAGCTGGACTGATGGATTGATAACAACGTCCGAGGTTGCCAGTGCGTGGGCATCGCTGTGCTGAGTGCGGTACGGTGTTTTCACCAAGGTTTGATTGTCACATTCAAGTTACGTTCTTTCATCCACAGTTGGTCTGTATTTTTGAACTCAGCAGGCAGAGCCTCATAGGCCTCACTTCCGCGGCGCAACACCGCTCCGATACCACCTTAAATGCCTTCTCCAAGTGCCACTTCGATACATTTTCACAGCATTGATTATCGTCGCCCGTCGATATCAACGTGGATCACTCAGATCTTCCAAGGTCTAAGTTGAGGGATATTCTCAGACCCATTTTTATCGTCTTTTCTCTTGCCAAATATCGCAGCACTACTATATCCACTTCTTTCGGGACGTGCTGAACTGTAGAGGACATGTCAGTCACTACATGTATTCGGATCTTATCTGTCAATCTATCAAGTATATAAGACACGAATGTCAGGGGAAGAGTACGTGCCTTGCTTATGTCGGAGCGCCCTCGTCTCATTCAGGTAGCAGCGTTCTTACGATGTGAATTTGCAGGAAAGTTCCGGCTCGGAGCCACATAGGAGAAGGTATGTCTGACTACTATCTTCGAAAAATTCCTGTCAACGCAGTGGTGGAAACATTGCAAATCGCACGTGCTCTCCTATACGACCGAATTACCTCCACAACTCAACTCGGAATGCACGGTAACCTCTTGAGTAAAGTGAAACAACGTCTTTCTTCTCCGTGATCATCAATCCAATTGTATGAACCTGCTTCCTATCCACTCCGTTTTCACAGCTATGAGCTTTTGCTAGTGTGGTTCCGAAATTCTTTGCACCTAGGTTGATCTGATGCCAAACGGACTAAGGTCATCCGTACCTATATTCAGGTATGCCGACCCCCGCAATATCACACAACTCTGACACCGAATCGAAGAATGTCCCGGTTGTGATTCTCACCACGTCTTGGCTGTAATACCTAAAATACTGTGGTACCTTGGTGGTACCTACGCATTAATCTTGTCTGGATTCCCGGGCTGTCAATCAGCTAGGGAAAGTTGCAACGGACAAATACTACATCAGGCATTAAGCACTGCATGCTTTACCTCCGCACTGCAGTCCACGCCACATATCTTTGAGGTCGTTCGAAGACGGATACGGATATACCGTAATTGTAGCCTTCGACTCGGAGGGCACTTTGGAAGTTCGAGCATCTTTACTAGCTACAACTCCATTCCTTAGCGATTATGATTTTGGGATAATGGTATACATATGCAGCGGGCTTTGCACTATTAGCTCGTGAGTTTTTTCAGAAGCTTTAATTCTTATTGTCAGAATTGTGCGTAATCAATTGAACTCCAAGACCCTCTACTCGATGCTCCAATTTATCTAATCTCCTTTGTCTCAGTATCGCTTGTAAAATTCATTCACCCAAGTAAATCCGCAGCGTCAGTCCTCGAGGCCTCAAGCACGGCTATTAGTGTCTATTGGTATTACTCCTTTACGTCTCTCCACCATCCAAGAAGACGGGGGATCGAACATGCCGACACACCAACGCAATCGGGGGTGTGGGTACGGCTATTACGATTAAGATGATCGCCGCCGAGGCTGCGATGTAGCATGTGTTGTGGATACTTCACGCCCTCAGAATGCGGTCTGCGCCTGAGGACCTCGCATGCCGAAATTACGAAAAAAAACGCAAAACCTCGTATTGATTAAATCTCACTGCACGCCCTATCCTCGTGTCTTATAATAATTTTATGTCCCAAAAGATTATCCTCAAGAAGCTCATCCCTGCAGGTATGCGCGAGGATGAAGTACATACATATAAGTATCGAACAAGCTTCAAGTGACTTGCAGGTAGGCTCGCCGCCCCCTCTGATCCCCGCATTTGAGGCTTCCTCGCGTATTCGACTCGCGCCCGTCACTCACTAGGCTCTAACTGTCTTTTCTTTATTTTCGCCCTCTCACTCGTACTTAAGCGAAGATACTCTCATCCTCGTTATTCGCTCATCGCATAATCACCACTCCCATATATCGATGTCACCGTCTTTAGCAACCGTCGCAAAAGCGAGTGACAGCGACAGCACGAGCTCGGAGGATAATGAATCAGTTCTTCGACTCCCAAACCGAAACTCCTTGAAACCGACTCAGCTGGCCTTTGGCAGCAACGCTCTGCCAAACATCAGCCCCTCACAGCAGGCGTATTCAGGTGCCCCTATGATACAGATAGCAGGAACCCCCGTTCTCACCGAACATGAAGTTGACAGCCCTTCTACATTGAAACCTGCAAATCCGCATTCTATCGCACGAGGACCAGAGACCCTTAAGTTGAACATCGCGGATGCTACCGAAAGCGCAAGTGCTCTCGCGCGCACCCTGGAAAAACTTGACACACCACTCCCAAGAGCCCCTTTAGGACCAGACCTTTTAACTATCGTCGTTGAGAGAGCAGAAAGTCCCGTTCCAATGGCACAAGAATCAGAGGGTCTTTCTGCCGAAAAGGTCGCGGATTCTGTTCCACCAAATCATGACGCAGATGCTATGTCGAGTGCACAGCAGCATCATGTAGAGTCCGAGAGACCACCTAGCTGGACAAGTGCGGGTAAGAAGACCAGTAAATCTGGAGCTATCCGAAGATTGTTTTGTGGATGCTGGGGTGCGTGATGTGAGCGTTCTAGTGACTGTGGATGGCGCTGGTCGTGAGGATTCCTAGCGCGATAGATCACTGGACATTGTTTTGACTGTTGGAATGACGAGCTCGAGGCATGCAGTGCAAGCGTGCACGAAGGACGAGCACCTAGAAAGGAAAGTCAGCACAAGGTAGAGTTGGAGCGATGCGACACTCACCAATATATATCCATCAAAAATTTTATACTTCCGTTTTCACTTATAAGCCGTACGCTGCCACGTACACACCTCAGAGTCCCCCATTAACTCTGAGGTGAGATAGTGTTTTCTGTATGTTAGTTGCACCCGTACTCACAGTACCGTCGTAGATTGTTTACTGTGTATAGGTGCATATTGCCGAATATGATACTGAGAGTCCCCCATTAACTCTGAGATTGTTTACTATGTATAGATCAGATAAAAGGTTATGAGCCCCGACAACAACGTCGACAGCAAGGAGTCCCTTGGTGTACCGAAACTCGAGCCCAATGGCTCCAACTGGTCAATATACAAAACACGACTTGAGTGGGCTATGGCAGACAAGGATTGTGTTGAACACTTACTTGGTTTGGCCCCGAAACCCACTCCGACCCCATCGCCAGGAACCACGCAGACTGCTGCACAAGCTGGAACAACTCTAGCCATTCCCGCGAGGACTACAGCGTTGAATCAAACCGACCAGGAAGCATTGAACGCCTGGCTAAAGAAAGAGTCCCGCGCGCAAAACATATTAGGCCGAACAATACCTGATTCTACGCTGCGCAAAGTCTTACATAAAGACACTGTCGCCGAAATGTGGCAGCTGATCGTTCAAGAGAACGAAAACAAGACCGAATTGGTCCAGGCCGAACTGAGAGATCGGTTAGCTGCGCTACGATGCCCAGAAAAAGGCGATATGCGCACCCATATCGACAAGCTCAGAGACATGTGGGAGCAGCTGAGTGCTGCCGGGGTACACTTTGGCGACAAGGAGAAATCATCGACAATAATGAGGTCCTTACCTCGTGTCTCAGTTGTCAGCGGCTGCCTACCTATCTGGAAAAACCGTCGAACCAGAAGCATTAATCACATATCTTTTACAAGAATACAATCGACTCACCATTGTGACTAAACGCCCCAACGTGAAAAACGAGAACACCGCCATGTCCGCGACAACGTCGTCTAGGAGGGGAAATCGTGGTGGTAGAGGTCGAGGCAGAGGCCGAGGAAAAAACAACAAAGAAAGACCCTCCAAGAAAAACGAAATTGAGTGCTACAACTGCGGCGGAAAAGGGCACATAGGCCGAGATTGCCCTAGCAAAAAGCGTGATTGCAGAAACGACAAAAGGAGAGACACACCAGCTAAAGAAAGAGCGAATGCTCAAAATAGTGATGACAAAGGCAAAAAGCCTGAGCAAGTGAACTCTGCGATGGTCGAGCGTGACGAAGAAGGGATATGGTCAGCAATCACACCAGAATTCATTGAATCTGCCAGCCTTGCTAGTAAACAAGGACTTGGAAATGATGCTGGAACAATTGAGCTTTACGACTCTGGCGCGACTATCCACTTCACGCCTTACCGCCATCTTCTCAAGAACTACCAATCCATCCCTTCCCAGGCCATTAATGCGGCCAACCATGACTCTTTCTCCGCCATCGGGAAAGGAGACTTGCCCATTCACGTTCCGAACGGCCCTGGAAAGATGACCAAGTTCACTCTTTGTAATGTGCTGTACACACCAGCAATCGGACACACTCTGGTCTCCATTGGGAGGATTGACAGTGCTGGATACTGCACAACATTCAGCAGTGGAGAATGCGTGATCACAAGCCCCAAGGGATCTGTAGTGGGCCGCATCCCAAAGATGTTCGGAGTCTACAGCTCATATGCAAATGATCAGGGGCGAGAAAGTGCCAACACGGCTATAGAACGACTCACCTTGATGGAGTTACATAGACGCATGGGTCATATAGCGCCTGCGGCTGCCAAGAGGATGGTTGAAATGGGCATGATGAAAGGGGTGGAACTGACCTCAAACGGGACCAGCCCATCTTGCAAATCTTGTGTACACGCAAAAACAACGCGCGGAGCTGTACCCAAAGTTAAAAGCAGCAAACGTGCCAAAGACTACGGTGACAAAGTTCATACAGACCTTTGGGGACCAGCGCCAGTGGAAACCCTAGGTGGGAAACATTACTACATCGCTTTCACAGACGACAAAACCAGGGAGACGCACCTATATCTGCTTCGCAAGAAAAGCGACACTTTTGTGCAGTTTCGCAACTACGAGGCCTGGGTCAGAACCCATATGAAGGCTGCGATTAAGATCCTTCACAGCAATCGTGGGGGCGAATTCCTAAGCACCGAATTCAATGCTTACCTAATGGAAAGAGGAATCACTCAAAAACTCACCGTGCATGATACTCCTGAGCACAACGGCATAGCAGAACGCCTAAATGGCACACTGCTTGAAAAAGTCCGTGCTATGTTACATAGCAGCGGCATGCCGAGATTTCTGTGGGGGGAAGCCATTAGACATGCAGTCTGGCTAAAAAATCGTACCTCCACAAAGGCTTTAGCCAACATGACGCCGCATGAAGCGGCGCATGGCAACAAGCCTAATCTCTCCTCCTTGCATGAGTGGGGCCGGAAAATCCTGATCCACGATGCTTCTGGATCAAAACTTGAGAGTCGAGCACGGGAAGGACGTTGGATGGGCTTCGATGATGAAAGCAAAGGTCACCGCATATACTGGCCAGGAAAGCGCTCAGTGACTGTCGAACGCTCGGTGCAATTCGATATTGAAAACTTACCTTTCGATATCAATACAGGACCTGCCTTCGGGCTTGAGGGGGAGGATACTCCTACAGCGACCCAAGCACCTAAAGAAAATCAAATCATTGAGATTTTTAATGATGGAGATGCACCTCCCGATCCATCTGATCCCCAAAAACCCCATGCACCTCTTGATTCACCTCAAAGGCCCATCCAAGAACCTCTTAATCCACCTGATCCCCAAAACGACCCTCGACAAGTGCTAGGAATGGTTTTGACGTGAATATAATGTTTCTTGAGGAGTCCCAGATACGTAGGCCTTCGCGCTGGATGGCAGAGAGGTGGTGTAGCCCTGGAAATATGAAGGAATCAATGTTCTTGGGCTTGTTTGGCCCTGGTATGATCCCGTCAGGTAGTACATGTTTTTTTTGGTACCGTTTATCTGGGGAAAGGTCAAAGATCACCCAGATATAGATCCAACAGTCCGATGATTTCTTCTCGTATAGCTGTGCACCATCCATGGAAAACATAAGCACCGTATCGCCAGATTGAATTTGTCCCTCTGCTACAGCATTGATGTAGTCACTGCCAGCAAAAAAGTTGTCATATGATTTGAGAGCCCTGTCATTAAGTTGCAATTCTTCTATGAGTTCTTGAGTACGCTCCTCATGGTACCTCATATTAGATGCACTGGTCAAGTCACGCCAAAGAGCTTGAATTTGCGGTCCTATGGGCATGGTGTGGAATTGCTGATGTGATCTTTTTTTTTTTGCCTTTAGAACGAGCTAAGATGAGCTGGTCATATCGCGGTTCAAGGCACATGGGACAGATGTCTAGGTCTGCAAAGGGACCCATATACGCAAGGCATGTGTTGACGCACATGTCGTGCACAAGCAACTCGACACCACTCAGTTCGGCCATACAGCGTTTTATTTGGTAATGGGATTGAATTTTGTCAGCATTTTCTGGATGTAAATGGTGGTAGGCATCACAGATGTGGTGGTAGACCTCCTGTGAAGCATTGGTGGTTGCCATGAAAATATTGAGAGCAAATCTTCCGTAAGGACTGTTGAGTTTGCAGGGTTCTTGCGGGGGATTTTGCAGCCCATCAAGAGCCTCAGGATTGAGCTGCATATGGAGGTCTTCAAGGTGAGCCTCCTTTGATGTGTTAATAAACGCCATAGTGATCTTGATGTCCTCAAGTTTTGCAAGCCTAGTCAACGCTTCGAGGTCAACATCATCAAGTCCTAACGTTGTGGGTTCTTGGGATAAGTCGTCTTGGATGTCATCTGTACTATTGATTTGAGGAGGCTCGGGTTGGAAAGAGTAAGTGGGAGGTGGAGATGGTGAGGGAGATTTGTATACATCCTGTGTACTATATATTAGTCTAAATAAAATTATACACGGACAACTATACACCTGAGATGTTTGATTCATTGAGATACCGTCATCAAGAGATTCGGGCACTTCTGCAACACTGTTACTCTCAAATTCAGTGCGTCTTTGTTTTCTTTGAGACTTTGCAGGGACACTTGATGAAGACAAATATTCAGGCGGTGGTTGTTTTCCCAATGCAATGGCGTGGTTTCAAATGGATCGTTTGACGTCTTCTGAAATGACTCCAGTGCGGTACTTCTTGTGTGCGTAGTAGGTTTTCTCTGATATCTTGCGTCGGACGCCTTTGCGCATAGGCTCACAGTCGCAATAATAGTCCTTTGTTCTTCGGATAGGTTTAGTTGGAAGTTCCATGATAGAGGGAGGGAGAGAGGGAGAGAACGCAGTACTGTGCAGTGAAGTCATACACTAACTGCACGAATGCGCTGCACAGTAGTGTGTTGTGTTTTATTCTGGCGCGCAAGTGTTGATTAACATTGATTGAGATCAAAGCTTATCAGAAGTTGCGTCTCACAATCGTGGGAATATTTCACAAATTAGATCCAAAATATATAGACTCGTTTAACTGGATTCTATCTAATTCGGTACAAATTGTGTCGTTTTTGACTGGGGTTGAACAGTAAGCAAGCAAGATCATAGTGAAATTAGAACGTACACATATAACACCCATGATTCATATTGGACCTTTGTACACTAGGCTTCAGTGGGGTAACGATAACACTGAACTTCAAATGGGTGCCTAGAGTGATGAAGATCAATTTCTACGTGGACGGACAGCCTGAAAAAATAAACACCCACAATAGCTGATGAAAATAGAGCATAGAAGTTACACAAAACGAGTACCACAGTCTTTAGACCATATTTATTTTGTCTAGCAGAACGTAAAAGGCTCAGAGTTGGATGGAAAACTCTGAGGTGTCTTATCGATGAAAAAAAGCTATATATCAGCTAAGGGAAACAAAACAAAAAATTAATAAATCTAAGTGAAACTACAACAGATGTTAGTTTAAGGTGATCTTTAATAAATGTAATGTAACATACCTCAGCCGCTGCCCGGGCTATAGAAACCACTGAGGTATTCCTATAGTACTAAACCCCCTACTACTTATAGTAGGAGGTGCTACTTGCTAAAATATAATGACTCCTAGGAGAACAATGGCAACCGTTACACTTGGAATGTGCAAGCCTGGTAACACGGTGTCATGCAGCAAAGTTGATTGGTAGCATGGACAGGTGTCAATAACGAAGCGAATATTCAAAAAGACTCGCCTTTGCGCCACACAGGCACAGTGCCACGTGGAATAGTAATTAATATTGCCTGTTTTGAACTTGTGGCTGATCAGCACCACCTCTATTAGGCAATCCAGTCACGCTCACCTTTGCTTTTCCATTTGGTACTTTCCGCATTTTGGCATTTTGGCAAATTTTCGTGTCGCCACTGGCTACACATTGCATTGCGCCCTCGCTTTTGTCGTTTCCTTCACTCCCCTTCCTTTGCCTAGCCCCACCATGGGCCCCTTCCTCTCCTTTTTATTCTCACCTGACGGTCGTTTCTGGATCCCCATTCTAATCCACTTTTCCGTCACCTCCACCCTCCTCCTCCTCATTTTATTTGCACCCCCACCATTTCTGATGTCACCACTTCCTATCCGCTTCCGTCGCCGATCCGTTGACTACCACGTGCCACTGCTGATATCAGCAAAGCCCCAGCGGCCGGTTCAAATAGGGCAACAGGTCCATCTTCATGACGTCGATCTACCATCATATACTATCAAAACATCGGTTGCTCGTCTTGCCTGGTTGGAGCGTGGGTGGGTAATTTTTGAGCTGGAGAAGGTTCATCCCCTTGTGTCGCCCATGTTCATCGCTGTCCCATTCACTTGGGTAAACTTATCTTTTGTCCATCGTCTTCGCTACAGCTACACCTACCACATGCTGCCTGGGACTCACTTGTTCCAAATTGGGACTACTCCTCTCCCTCCCTCGATTGATCAGGTGGTCCAACATAACCAGTCCATTGGTAAGGCCATGGAACTGTCAGATTTGGACTAGGTGGTGGACCGGTGGCTCCAGTTTCTTTTTTTTCAGCAGAACATTCATTTACAGTGCGATTATTTTTGATTTTTGAATCATTTTTATGGACACATATTTTTTTAGAATGCCTGACTGACAATAAAGGAACTGTGTTGATACTGATAGTGTTTTGCCTTGCCCTTTTTTTACTGCATCTTCCCATGACATCATGGTTTTCCTGCTCTCTTTTTGCTCTTGGACTTTACTTTATGGCTGTACAAACCTGTGACATTAATCACAGCATTTATTGTTCTATCTCTTTCTTTTCCTTTTTTTGACAATCTTATCCTGTACTACCTACACAGGATTTGTCAGTGTACATTCCTTCCTTCATGTTCTTTCTCATTCTTTTTGCACAGCTATACTGTGCATAGCCTACTTTTCTTTTACTATATAAACCCCTGTATTTTACCTTGTAAAAAAAAAGAACAAGAAATCCAATCCAGACTTCTTCTCTACTCTCAAGTTCACTATTCTGCTACTTGTGATCCAGTGTGGTCACAACACTTCCCACTTCTACCACTGTTAACTGCTGTCATCGTCACTTGTCACTTTTTGAAAGTGATTGTCATCCCCTTCGATTAGAGTCCTTCTGAACACTACATTTGTGCATCAGGAGCCTGCTATCACTGGGAATCTTGTTATCTCATCATTCTCAAACCTACCTTGTGCTACGATTAGCAAGGTAGTGCTCATCTCTACTCGTCACTAAGCCCCCTATCTTCTATAAATTCAACTATCCCTCCTCCTCAAAACCCACACTCATATATCTCTGGGTTTTACTTGGAAGGATCGTTATATGCACCACCCCACGAACAACCAGACCACTCCACTGTTCTAGGAAGCAAAGCCCATAAACAAGTTCCATGGAATCTGGGAGGATTGTGTGTTAGTTTGTTTTTGTGTGTGGTTTTCTAACAGCAGTTCTCATCATCAACAGCGGCACTTTCTTTTTGTTCAAACTCCTTTTTCTTGCACCACACTGCTTTTCTTATTTTAGCTACAAGTATCTCACACAGTGGAGCTGGTCACATGGGCTGCGCCCTCTGACATGATCAGCCACTGCCTCTATCAACTGTATAGTACATATGTACAAACAAACTGTAGTAGTATAAATACCCAATAGATCCAGGAGACTCCTCAGCAAGTCCTCCTATTGTTTACCTACAACTAACTTGGTCCTATCCTAAGGGTAACCACTCCCCTCACTACCTGTATAGTTTTGTCTGAGTTGTGCACCAGAGTAACAAACTCTTGGTTGTTACATTAGGACTCGCTCTTTCTACTCTCTTGCATGTTGTGCAAACCCGGTCCCCAGGGTTGAGGGGTTATTGTTTGGGAATATCCCGTATAGCAGAAGGGTGCGCTCCTAGTGATGGCCCTGTAGTGCTCTGGGAGAAGAGACGATTAGTTGATACACGGCCCCCAGTGTCAAGGGGAGTACTTAGCTTAGCAGTTGGTGTGGAACCGCTGTTGATTAGAATATACATACAACACTTGTTCTTCAAATACCTCTGACCAGGCCGGGCACTTGCCTCTGCCAGTCTGGAGAAGGGCTAACAGCTTAACAAGCGGGCCACCCCCTGACAACTGTTCGGACCAGGGTTTCATACTATAGCTTTACGTACTATTTCAAATGCTGTAGTGTGGGTAGTCGGAGATTGAGATCCAATACTCAGCTGGGAAGAGGTAGATCCGCAGATAGCAAGCGGGGACCCCCAGTTACATTTAATACAATGACAAAGAGAGCATGTTGACATGTTGTTGCAAACCCCTGATGTCAACACTCTGTTGCACAACATGCGTGCACAGATTTTGGCGTTGACCACGCAACTCGCCGAGCTCCAGGCCAACCCCCCTGTAGCAGCACCCTCAGTTGAGAAAAAGTTCAACAAGAAAGCCGAAGCCATCACTGACCCCGGCGCTTTTGAAGGAGAAAGCGCAATTTGCCGAATGTTGGATCAAACTACAAATTTGGGTCAAGGCAAATTGGGATGCATTTGCTGACGACTTTGAGGTAGCATCTGCAGTGCTATCTCAACTAAAAGGAACTGTGGCGGGTTGATACACCCAAGTTAGATTACAGGAGTGCTACACCGCGGGTGTGTGGCTTACCTGGGACAATCTCAAGGTAGAGATTGAAAAATATTTCAAACCACAGGCTGAGCGTGACTGGGCTCGCCAACAAATCTGTTCCTTCAAACAAGGAAACATGAGGATGGATGATTACGTAACCTGGTTCCTGGCCCTCTCCATCCAAGGAGGGCTTGGCAATGAATATGCAGTAGAACTGCTGAAACACAATGTGAACCCCTGCATTGCAGAACAGATCTATCTGCAGGATACACGAAACAAGGACTTGGCTCTAGCGGCTGAGGAAGTACAACGAGTTGGTAGAGCCATGGAGCTCTATGCTATGCAACAACGTGGTGGGTCCACCACTAAAAACAACTTTTCCCAGAGGCACCCTGGGTCATCAAACCAAACTCAAAATCACTCTCACGGGTTCAAGCCGTTCGGGCTGCAGCCAGGGCAGGGTGCACCTATGGATATCTGCGCGGTCCAAGGTGGACAAATGCGCAGATTCAAGGGCAACTGCTACAACTGTGGCCAGGAAGGATACATGTCCTGAGATTGCAGAAATAGGGCGCAGGCCGCCCAACAAAAAAAAAATCAAGGGCACCAGGCGCGCCACTTAGAAGCAGAAAAAATGGACGATTGGCTCAATACTCTGGCCGTTCGTTCATACGTTGAGATCCAGGCTTTCTTTTACAACCAGCAGGTCGCTGAAATGAAAGCTCAGGGAAAAGAGTTCAGAGCTTAGGTCACTTGGGTGCCTTTGCTCCCCGTAACAATGAAGTAAACCACAACAAGGTGGCCCCTGCTCCAGGGTGTTGCACAAGCAATCACAGAAAGAAGGGGGTGGCTCCCCAATTTGTAAAAAATAAATTTCTCAATTTGTTATCAGAAGTATGTACTTGTATGCAAAACTGTAACTGTGATATTTATGATACCACAGCTGCACCAGCATCTCCCTTGGAGTGTGGCCCCGGCGAGACAAACACTAGGGTGCTTGATTCTGGTAGAATAAAAAATAAAAATATAGAAAATCTTAAAGTAGAAAAACATGTTTCTTTTGATATTTCTTCTCCTTCTTGTCTGGGGCATAGTACACCCAACCAATGCACTGCTTGATTCAGGCACTAACGGCATCTTCATGGATCAAGTCTGGGCGGAGCAAATTAGACTCCCCCTTGTAAAATTAGATATATCTATTCCTGTCTATAACGTTGACGGTACGCTCAACACGGGTGGCTGCATCACGCACAAATGTTCTTTTGTTGTCAAGTACCAAGGACACAGAGAACAAATCATTGCAGAAACTACCCAACTAGGGAAGATTAATTTAATCCTAGGCTGGACCTGGCTATTTAAACACAATCCTAAAATCGACTGGCAGACAGGGGTTGTCACATTGTCACGTTGCCCTCAGGAGTGTGAGGACTTGGGTAAGCCAAGTCGTGTCCGTAAAACTGAGTGAGATGAAAGGATAGATGCTGGTCACGTTTATGCCCAACTCAGATCTTTAGATAAGATTGACAATGACAATAACAAGGTAAAACCTGAGGAAGAGATTAAGAGGCTGGTACCTCCCGGGTACCATGACTTCTGGAAAGTCTTTTCAAAACATGAATCAGAGCGCTTCCCAGAGGCTAAGCCTTGGGACCATGCTATAGATTTGAAGGACACCTTCAAACCGAGAAAAGGACACATGATACCGCTCTCTGCTCCAGAAAGAGATGAGGTTTCTAGTTTCATAGATGAACAGCTTAGGAAGGGTTACATCAGACCTTCCAAAAGCCCTATGACGTCCCCGATGTTCTTCATTCCTAAAAAGGATGGTAAGAAGCATATGATTATGGACTATCATTACTTGAATGAGTACACGGTTAAAAACACATATCCACGGCCAGAACGGAATCAGGATGGACCCTGAGAAAGCTTAAGCTATTTTGGATTGGCCTGAACCTACTTGCATCTGTCAGGCAACGAATACGAAGCTATATAACAAAACTCAATGCTTGGTCAAGTCCTTGGTGCAAGGCAGTGAAGCAGGGTATAAGAGTTGAAGAGTATCGGTATAAGCGCAAATCCAAAATAATATTGAACTAAAGAATAATACATTGAGTATGTACTTCTTTATATAGTGAACAGCAAGGGTCAGACCGAGAAAGGGAAGAATTAAGAAAGTGGTCTGACCAACTGACTAACCAATAGGAAAAGAAAGAGAAAATGGTCTGATCTATCGTATTTACTAATCGTATGAGAATAAGTATTGGTAAGGGGTGTGCGATTGGCTGTATCAGTAAGCCCATGAGAAGGCACTGACTCACAACCTTCTTCGCTTATCAATATCCCTCCAAAGTGTTCCCAGACATAGCACTGGATCGTTGCTATGTCATTTGGATATCTTCTCAAAGGTCTACAACAGGTCTCCTTTGTTGCAAGTACAATAGGACGTGAGTGTGAATAGAGAATAAGAAGAAAAAGGATAAAAGTAATAAGATACCGGCTGTGATCTCTAGTCCAAGAGCAAGAGGAGTGACAGGGATTGAGTCTGTTAACCACAACATGATGGGAATGTGATGAGAAAATTTGATTCCTCACAGCGTCAAAGGAGTTAGGGCCTTCCTTGGCTTAGGCAACTTCTACCGAAGATTTGTCGAAAACTTCGCAAAAATCACGAGACCGTTGAACAATCTCACCAAAAAGGATATCGTTTGGCACTGGGGCACCAAAGAACAAGAAGCTTTTGACAAGCTTAAACAGCCATTTACAACAGCGCCCATATTAGCATTTCCAGAATTAGACAAAGAGTTCCGGCTAGAAACCGACTCTTCTGCTTCTGGGGCTGTTTTGTCAATTAAATGCCCTGACGATCTTTGGAGGCCTTGTGCCTATTTATCACATAGTTTGTTGCCTACAGAGCGCAACCTGGACTCATGTAGAACAGCCAAACAATGCCAATGTGATCGGAAGCAGATAAGTCTTCAAGGTCAAAAAGACCACATTTGGAGCTATTGACAAATACAAGGCCAGGTTAGTTGCACAAGATTTCAGTCAAGTAGAAGGGGCTGACTATTTTGATACCTTTGCGCCTATCACGAAAACAGCCTTGCTACGCATCATCTTCACAATAGCTGCCCAATAAAACTGGGAACTACATCAAATGGTCATCAAGACTGCTTACATAAAAGGTGAACTTGACAACAATGAAGTGATATTTATGGGTTAATCCCCAGGTTATGCTACCCCAGGATGAGAGAAGCCAGTGCTTCGCCTAAATAAAATGCTGTATGGTGTTACGATAACGCATTTTTGGACCTTTAAATTTCATTCTCCTCTTTAAACTTTTACTGTAGTTTTTACACACTGTGCCATGCATCACTTTCCTTTTTGTTCAAACTCCACCTTCTCACGCCACGCTGCCTTTTTTATTTTTATTTTTAGCTACAAGTCTG